TCAGAAAGTCTCACGAGTGATTATTTGGTGGGTAACAACATTCCCCAAAACACAGAGCAGCAATTAAAGGGTCACAGTTTCAGTTAGAGCTGGCTTATCTTTGAACTCTGACAGTTTTTAAACCTTTAAAGATTTGTATTTACATTGCTAGCCTCTTTCTTCAGAATGTCAAAAAAAGCCCCAGCTTGAAGAATCAAAGTGTCATTTGTGAAGCAATGACCAGTCTCAGTTCTCTTTAAGAGTTCCTCGGTGAGATCAAGTCCAAACGCTCAAAGAGCTAGTGTGACTGGGAATTGCCTGCTTTTCTACCCAATTTCTTTACCACAGTAAGGACTAAGTGAAGTGAAGTGAGAATGAGAGGTTGGTCTGTAAACCACAGTAGCACCCTCTAAATATTTACTATTAACTGCATGTGACACATTGCATAAACCCTGGTTTAACAGAATGTGCATTGTAGCAGAAAACTTCAAACTGGCTAAAAGGATATATGACCATGGGCACAGAGTGATTAGAAAGGGAAACTATCTACTGTATATTTTTTTTTGCTACACTGGTGCACAAGAGCAAGAGGAGTAGGCTGATGCTTAGGAAAAGATATACATATTCCCAAGGAATATATACTGTAGTAGCAACTTCAAGGGAAAATACTTAAACTTCTGTTTCTTCCAGCTGATGGCAGCTTCAACTGCAAGTCTTTCTTCTCCATGATTGGTTTATCCAGCAAAACTCCTGATCAGATAACGAAAATCTTTAGAATCCTTGATCAGGACAACAATGGTTTCATCGAAGAAGAAGAGCTTCAGTAAGTACTGTACAGCTGCATATTTCTTCAACTAGTGCAAACCTTTGAACTTGCTAGCTGTCCTAGAAGAAACTTACTGTTATTTTAAAAAGAAAACACAATTGCTTGCCTTTCCTTGTCACAATTCCTTGTATTTCCTCAGATAATAAGAACAGGCATTACCTTACAGGTTTTTTTGGCATGGCTTTAAGAAAACCAGAAATACCAATGTACCAAGGACATTCTGGAGAATAATTCTCAAGCACAACACCCTACCCTGTTCTATTTCAGACTGTTTCTGAAGAATTTCTCTTCAAGTGCCAGAGCCCTCACTCCCGCAGAGATCAAGGACTTTATGGCTGCAGGTGACTCTGATGGTGATGGCAGAATTGGAGTAGAAGGTAAGACTTTTAGAAATTCATAAAATTTGTGGTTTAAAATGCATACATTTAGGGCTTCATTTAAATGGTGGCATGAAGAACACATCCAAGTACTTTGGCCTGGTACTTTCTGCCACGATTTTTATACTAGTGAATACTCCTTTAGTTTCACAGCTTTATCCCTAGTTGGTTTCCCTTTATCCTTATTTGGTTATTCTCTTGCAGTAACAGCATATTTAGGCCCAATGTAGAGCCTATCCCTCCAATCCATAATATCAGCTGTGGGTTTTATTCTGCTATGTGTCTGATCCATAGACTCAACGTGCCAGATTTTTAAAGCATCCTGAACACCTATCCATTCTTCGAATTTCCATTTTGGCTCTGCACTTCTGGCCATATGACACTTCCATTTTTAAACACATGTCCACCTACATAAACTTCTTTCTTCATCTACCACTATCAAACATTGGCCAATGCTACCAAGTGGTTTAATTCAGGAATGTAAGAGAAGAGTGGTATTGTTTTTCAAGGCTAGTACTGCTGCAATGCAGCACGGAATTTTATGCTAGAGAATGATCCAATCAGTGCACATTTTACCAGGCAGTCCTTCTATGAAAAACTGAATCAAATTCCTAAAGAAAACCTCACAGGGATGATGTGAACTGGCCAGGCTATTTCTTTTAGAAATTGCTGCAAGGAAAATAGGACATTATGCATCACATATTACAGATGAAGTCACTGAAAACAGGGCTGTCTCAGCTGAAGTAGGACAGGTGGCAATAACTCTAACAGACACACGTGCTAATCTTAGCCAGAGTTTGGGAGGAGAGAGAGATACACTGTTAGAGGAATTTGCTTTAGCAGCAGCTTTTACAGCTTCTGTTTATGAGCCCTAAATAGGGCATTATATTATGCAGATCTTGGCCTTCAACCATTGCATCTCCCATCCTGAAATTACAGCACTACTGATATTTTTTCTTTGGAATAACAAAGGCAAAAAATCCCTCCTACTGAAAGCCATAGGATAAACCTAAGTCACTCTTTGCTTCCTTGGCTATTATCAGAGTTTTTAACAGGTTAAAGATAGTTTACCTTTAACTCAGGATTTCCCACAAATATGGATTTACAGACACACTCCTCCTCTCTGCACTTACTCTTTTTAAGGAGTGAAAAATCTGTTACGCCCCCAGAATCTCAGTTTAGCAGTAGCTTGTGCAGTGTTATAATAACTTTGGGAGCCCTCCATGGCTAGGAGTTTAAGTAATTTTTATCCATCTTTTCTAAAGATGTCAAAAAACACTTTTATCTAGTTTTACTCCCTGTCTTTCTCATTTTCTTCCTTGACAGAATTCCAATCTATGGTGAAGGCATAAACAGCATCAGGCCAAAGACATCCTTGGACTGACTCTTCCAATTACCTCGTCCGACAAGCACTTGCACTCAGCATGTGTTTGTACCTTTTTATATTGTTTCAGGCATTAACAACCCCTCAAGTTCACACACCCAATTGCTGAGAAATCTTGCAATGTACAGATGTTTGGGTCATGTGGTATTGTTACATTTCCATTGTAAAGAAAGCACTTTGTGATTGTCAACCACTCATAATGTTGAAATTGTGGCTAGAAAAGGGGAGGTAAAAAAATAAAATAAAACAACTTGGGGGAGGGGAAAGCTGCTTTTAAGATTGTGTTTAGGTTTCCATCCTCATACTTGAGTATGTTGACTCACCAGACACAGTTCTGATGATCTTAAACAATATGACATCTTTTAAGGCTTGATTGTAGTAATTTCATTGAGTTTTATTTCTGCTTAATTCTCTGATCATTAAGGAAAAGTAATGCTAACAACATAGCTAAAGCTAATACATATTAAGACCCAACCCTGAGAATCTGAGAAAAAAATTAAGAGGAGGTGCCAAATAGCTCAAAGCATGGAATATGTCTGTGGATAATTTTACAGAAGTAAGTACTAGGCTACAGCATGCATCATCAGAAAGTGTTTATGGCCTAAAATGTAACTCTCCCTTAAGAAGATTTATCTTTTGTAGAAATATAAGGCAGCTGTTAAATAGAGGATAAGGGTCTAATCCTAACTCTGACACTGTCTTAAGTCACAGCCCCCTGACACGGGCCAAAGGCCTGACGGTTTTTCTGTGAATCATGAATATGTTGCTTATTATCTCTTAATATGTACAAAACAACAGTACTTTCCCACATTTCTGAATTTCTGTTTCCTTCAGATGGAACAACAGCCATTCTTACTGTTTGGATTACCTTAAAACTCTGTTACATTGCTAAATAATCGCCATTACTCAATTCTTTCATTTATTATATGAATAATCACTTATACAATCCATAATATTAGCAATTTTCTTCAGTGTGAAAATTACTAAGAATTAGTCTTTCCTTTCTCTAAATCCACAGGATTTAGAGCCAGTTATAGCATTGTCTTCATTAATGCACAAAGTAAATAATGTTCATGGCTAAATGCAGAGCTCAATAGATTGAATAGATGTTGTGTGTTTCTGGCTGAGTGGGTTGGAAATTTCCCCACCAACATTTAGTTGTCTCTTTTCCCATCTATCATGATATGGTTCCAGCTCACAAGTAGACTGTCATTTTAATGCTCCCTGCTGAAACTGGATGATAATTGTAACATAATTTGGCAGCTGTTTTGAAGAAGAGCAGAAACAAAGCCTTCTGGAACTTTTATGTAACATTCAGTGTTGGCATTTCCATGAATCACAAGATGATTATGTGAGGCAAGTACAACTCACTCAGACCCAGGCATGGAAGAGAGAGCTGTTCAGCAGATTTAAGACAGCTAATGCAAAAGAGGAATTCTAGCAGTCAGACTCACTGAAGCCTTGGCTGAATTATAATGAATATAAATCCTAATTCTGTCCTCACTACCTTTGATGTTAAATCTAGGCTTAAATTATAGCTGCTGTTAATTGCAGCACTGAAATATTTTGCATAATGATGAGACTGTTGATTCCTTTTACTTTATTCATTTTCCTATCTGCTGAAGAAAAAACCCAGAGCAATCCAGATCTGCAGCAACAGACAGATGTAATGTATACATTAGCTCTTCACACTGCTAATCACTAAAATACCATGTCACTAGTTCACAAGCAGATGGCACACACAGTACCATAAGTGACAAACCTGATGCTGCATTCCTTGCACATCTGAAAGTCTTATGTGGAATGCAAGAAATGCAAGACTACATAGTGTGGCCTATCCTGTATTTCAGAGATGCTAAACAACTGCACATCAATGTCTTCTGTTGCCATGAGGGGAAATAGAGTACTTCTGAGAATTTGGCAATTCTTGTGTAAGTTGCAACTTTATGTAAAACTTAAGAGAATTTTATTTATAAGAAAATCTGTTCTTCTTAAACAGTAACTCATGGCAAGAAGATGAGTTTTAAATCTTAATAAAACCATTGAGCCATTTCACTAGAAGGAATTACAGTAGAACTCCAAAAAGTTACCAGTTACAGAAAAGTCCATGGACTGTTCAGCAAAAACGATGCCTAGTCCCTGTTAAGTCTTCTGTTGACACTAGGATCCACATTTTTAGAGTTAACTGAAGTAGAACAAAGTATCTGCCACCTAAAGTAAACAAATTCCAAAAAAGTAAAGTTTTCTTGGGAGGTTCATTTCAATAAGTTTAAATTCAGCCAGTGGCAGCCTTCAATTTCCTTAGGGTAGCACAGAGTGTTCTCTGAACTTGACAATGTCATTACTCTAGAGAAAACCTGACTGCAGGATGTGTATGTGGATGCCATCTACAGTAGTAAATACACTAATGGTGATATCACAGCGTTACCACATTAAGGTATGGAACCACAGAATAATTCATGTTGGAAAGGATCTCTGAAGGTCTCTGGTCCACTTGCCTCCTCAGAAGGCCAATTTAGGGCACATTCCTCTGAGCTGAGTTTGAGTATCTTCAAGGATGGAGTTACTATAACCTCTGTGGGAAATGTAATAAGTAAGGATTAAATTCTCTGCACCAAGCTTTTACAAAGGAAATACACAAATAGAACACTGCTAAGCACACAGTTAAAACCCAAATTCTGTCAGAAAGTTATCTAACAGCACTCTGTATTATCCACTGATAACCGATTCTCAGGTTTAGAGTTAAGACTGTCCTAATCAACATAATATTCAGTATAATACTGCTTCATAATCCCTAGGATAAAGGAAATGTTGTTTATATGTATTACCTTTACTTATGACAATTAAAGAGGAATGCAAAATGTGAGCAGCAGATTTGAGTTCCACTGAGCCCAAAGACTCTGAGTTCTCAGACACACATCAGTCCCTCATTGCCCTGTATGAGCAGTTCAATCTAATTCTCCCAATACTTCTTGTGAAATAAAGATGTACTATGACCTCTTTAAGTGGCAATAAACACAAAGAAATTGCTTGTCCTGTACAAGCTCTTAGAAAAAAGTCATCAAGGGCCAGGGTTTTGAAACAAATATCCCAAACCGTGGTGCTCTAGCTACTGAATCCATCATCTCTCTTAAACCAAAATTTTGGGTTGTGCTGATCAAGGAGCAGAATCATGCACAAGATAAAATCTCCTGGTATTTAGTGGAAGCTGGCTGCCTTCTAACATTTCCTTTGGAAATCCTAACCTAGCATCATTCGTAAAGTTCAGATTCAGTTTCAGTTCTCCAGCTGTTTGAAATCTCACAGTCATCTTCTAATAAGTAAGAGAGCACAAGAAGGGCAAGGGGATGTCAGAACTTTCATGGCACACATAGGCTGGTAAAGTTTATTCTTTGAGCTTGCAGCCAGCCTATGCAGAAAACCTTTGATGCAGCAGCATCAGAAGTGCCTAGATTAATTTCCTGGGATGGGTTACTGAAATATCTGATTTAATCCCTGGCCAGACATATACCTAACATTTTCATGCTTAATTTTTCATATACTTTAAAATATATTAATAAGTAGATGCTGTGAAATATGAACTAATTTAAAGTGTCACCATGTTACGAAACAATTTCCATACTACTTTTGTGAACAAGCACAGAAAGATGCCATTATATTGATATGGATCTTCTGGTACACTCTCTGTACCACAGGCCTAGAGAGCACACTAGCTAGCAGTTGGGATACAGCTGCTCCCTAACTTTTGATTTGCTTATCAGCATGTTCTACACTCATGTAAACAAGAAATCAGAGCTTTTGTGTGTCAAGCTCCAGAAAAAAAAATCAGATTACCACATCAGTTACAATACAAAAAGAAGGTGCCCCTTGACAATGCCTTCCCCTGCAGTTACAAAGACAATGTTGACCTGGAGTTTAAAGGGGAATTTATGTCACAGTAGAATATGCAAATACTTGACTTAAATATAATCCCACTGCTTTCATCACAACTAAATATTAATCAGCGGGTATGCCCTAGATACTTTCTGCTTTACCAAGAAAGCTTCCAGAACAAAGTGATCCTATATTTGCAAAGATCTCCCTAACAAATTGTAATATTTAGCCAGAATAAAAATAAACACAGTGCAACCTGGTTTTGTTAAGCAGATGAAATAACCTGTTCTTCCTAATAATCATTAAAGGAAAAGTCATCTGGAATTATTTCAGTTTTCCATTTAGCCTGTTTATATTCCAGCCTTTCGAGTAATGGGTTAGACTAGACTTCTTTTAAATACTTGTTCCTTTTTCTCTTCCTTGTTCATGAACGCCCACACGCTAACCTGTTCTCACCCTCATTTCCTCAGTTTCCTCTCAGCCCAAGCAGTCCCACAGAGATTTCACAGCTGGACTTGACCGTCTTTGGTGCCCTCTACAGGCAAGATCTGCTTTGCTACAGAAATAACTAAAAAACTTTCTCCACAAATCCTTTGTAACCTCAATGTGGTCTTCTCACAAAGATTATTTCTTTCATCATCAGATGATCTCTTTCATCATGAGATCTCCTCTGATCCCAGGCCATGATGTGCATTATTTCCTAGGAATCTGAAACAAAGGCAAAGCTAGATTCCCAAATGGAAAGGCTGGATCATGTATTTTACATATCCGCAAGGATAAAATAAATTACTTTAAAAGTAACTTGCTCAGTTGATCTTGTACGTATATAGCCCAGAAAACCTTGCTTTCAGAATGTTCCATTTTCCATGCAGCATAGGTTTAGAATAATAAAACTAGCACTTCTTCTAAAGCATTTTTCTCTTGAAGAGATGATCAAAGGAAACTAAGATGTGCAAGATGAGGTTTTGTCTATATTTTCATCTATATAATTTTAGAAGGAAACGACAGCAGCCTCATGTTAGACTGACCAAGCACTAGGCTTTATTTTAAATGCCATGGCATTACTCAAATATTTGAGCATGTTTGTGTGTGTCCATGTGAAATGTTCTCCCAGTGGCTTTTTACACCACTGGCCAATTTCAGCCATTCTGAAGGTCAGTACATTACAACAGATCTCATGAGACAGCCAAGCAGAGGATCCCATCAATAACCAGTAAGAGAAAAGCTGCAGCTTGAGCTTAGCTACTGCTTCCTTGAAGCAGTTTATGTTTTCAGTAGAGAAAGAAATAACCAAATATCACCACTTTCACTGCTCATTTTCACTTCTCACCATTAACTGATGCATTCTCCTGCATGCTATTGAACAACTGACAACCTCCATTCTATGACGGGACTCATTTATTATGATGATTTCAACTGTGCACCATTTAATTAATTAATACTAAGCAAATATAGTAGATTTCAACAGTAGACTTTTATAGTCTAAAGTACATATTTCAGCAACTGGGTAACCAAAGCTTGTATGTTAGCTTATTGAAAATACTTTGGGTTGATATAAAATTAAAAGTTTTATCTGTGAGATTCTAAGTGTTTGTCATATGTATCTATTACAAACGTATCAGTATTAGTATTATTTGAAGACTATTAGGGCAATTGCAGGAGTTTCATGGGTAATTCCTACCAGGATTGGGCCTTAAAAGGCAAACTCTACCATGAAAATGTTCTTTTTTGCTATCATGAAGCGATACAAAATAATAACTATTTTTCCATTCACAGATCAAAAGTGACTCACTAGACCAAAAATAAATGCAAGCTGAAAGGATTTACTTTGCACTAAACCTTATATATTGTCTAAAACACCATGCACATTCCTTTGGGATATAAATATCAATCTGATAAGCTAGCAGGTCTTGTCAGCCACAGTGATTTATCCCCTGGTGTATCTGAGCCATCACATGGCTCTAGGACTTCTGTAAAAGGTCAAGAGGACTTAACTAATGTCTATATAAGTCATTATCTCTGTCATTTGAACAATAATTAAGCCAAGAGGACTTTGCAAATCTTTTACCTTACAGTTTTTTTATGTCTTTGGCTTGGGTAAAACTAAGTGGCAAGGTGAGGAAACTGAGATTTTTGAAGACATCACAATAATCCACACAAAAAATGAATGGAAATAACCAGAGATCTCCAAATGCTGTGCAGTTCTGCGAATTACAGAATGGTTTGGGTTGGAAGGGACCTTAAAGACCAACTAGTTCCAACCCCCTGCCATGGGCAGGGACACCTTCCACTAGACCGGGTTGCTCCAAGCCCTGTCCAAACTGACCCTGAACTTCCAGGGAAGGGGCAGCCACAGCTTCTCTGGGCAACCTGTGCCAGAGTCTCACCAACTTCACAGTTAAGAATTTTTTCCTAATATTTAATCTAAATCTAGCCTTTTTCTTTACCTGTTACTTTAAAGCCATCACCTCTTGTCCTATCACTACTTGCCCTTGTGAACAGTCCCTCTCCAGCTTTCTTCTCAGCCCTATTAGGCACTGGAAGTTGCTCTAAGTTCTCCCATGAGCCCTCTCTTCTCCAGGCTGAAAAACCCCAACACTCTCAGCCTGTCTTCATAGGAGAGGTGTTCCAGCCCTGTGAGCATCTTCGTGGCCTCCTCTGGACTACATCCTTCTTATGTTGGGGGCCCCAGAGCTGAAAGCCAGCTTATATTGAGCTTCTCATTAACCAGCACATTTGGTTTTGTCCTCTGCTTTTGCACCTGAAGGCTTAACTAGAGAAAACAGCAAGCCAGATGCACTACATATATCTGAAGTAAAGGACGGAACTGTTGGCTCCTGCAGGGCAGCTGTCCTGGTTTGCCCTGGGACCTAGGTTGCAACTGCCCCAGTAATCAAACCTGGCTGCCCTCATGGGGCAGCATCAAAGGCTGATAGAGCAAGACCAATATGAATTCTGTCTCTTTGGATGAGAGACAATTGTGTGCATGTGTGTGCGTGTGCTGAAGGAGCTGCAAGACAAATAACAAAGGAAAGACTGGATCACAATAAAACACTCCGATAGCACTGAAAATACTCATTTCATGTAGGGATAACTGACAGACTGTGAAGATTAAAATAGCAGTTCTGATGGAGTTTGCTCTTTATTCTTCCAAGAATTTTTACTAGACTGAATTCAAAAGGCTATTTTTCTCTAATCTTTCTTTTCATCATGATATTCTATCTTCGAGAGCATATTCATCTGACTGAAGTTAAAAAGCAACGTTAGAAAAATTCTTGCCTCTCTTAAATCTACATCTTAGTAGCAAAGATGACACAGCAGGGAAAATGAATCCTGCCACTATGGGGTCAGTTTTAACTTTGTCTTTTTAATCCAATGAAACAAAAAGAATTTTTACATGTTGTGATGCAACATCCCTCTTACTTTGTTACCATTATTCTAACTGAAGTTAGAGGACGTTTTGTCATTAAATGCAAAATTATTTACAAACAGCTTTAGAAATAGTCTTCAGAATTGAGTCAGGCTTGGAATTTTACAGCTATTACCAATACCAAACTCTAAATGCTTTCAGTATCAAGTATGTCTCTCTTATTTGTCCTCTCACCTTTAACAGACACTTCCTGCAGCATTTCTCAGCTAGTGCCAGAGCTTTGACTGATGCATTCCTGGCAGCAGGTGATAGTGATGGAGATGCTAAAATTGGAGGGGATGATTAAGACTGCCATTACCTAACAGAGGAATACCTGTCCCTGAGACTTTCTAGTGGTTAGCTCTATGCAGCTGCCCTACTCCATACACTGGTTATTATGCATCTGATTCCAAGATGCTCAGGTCTGCTCACTATTGTAGAGAGGATCTAACATAGGAGTTAGTCTATATGCTGCCCTTGGCTACAGGTGGTCAGTCCATTTTATCACCTACGGAGATTTTTTCAAGACTGGAACCAAAATTGATAAATTTATAAAATTTCAGTATATAATTTCACTGCTTTTTACTACTGAACTATGGTACAATGTAACACTTGAATGCAACACTTCCTTTGTCTTGAGTATCTATTGTTATGAGTATATAATGTGCTACTTTTAGGAATGAGCTTCCCATTTGAACTCTAAAATTAAGTACTTTTGTTGCCTGTGTGATTACATAATGTGGTTCCTTTTTGTTATTCTTTTCTTTTACAGAGTTTCAAGATCTGGTCAAATTTTAACAAGCAGTCAAGATAAAGACCAAGATACCAGTGCCATAAACAATCTTTCCTATTGCAAACCTACTATTTATTTACACATCTTGTACCCATTAAGAATCGCTGGCAAGTGATTTCATATTGCTGGAGAACATCTGAAGTAGGGCAATCACTATCTAAACCATATTCCCCAATATTCCAAGCAAAAGGTGTTTATACCACTGGGAGACTGAACTGGAATCCATTCTGTTCATCTGAATTTGGGGCATTAAAGATGCAAGTAAAAATATTAAGAGAAGGAGAAATTAGAAGCATTTCTGTGGCCATTTAATTTTCAATATTTGTATAAATAGATAGCACCTGTTATAAAAAACTAAAATCAGCAAAATGTCCAGGTGTACAACCTGGTTATGGTAACTGGTAGCAGTGGTATTTAACTAAGAGGTATATTTAATGCTCCAAATGTTTTTATGTCATTCTTTATGCAACTGATTATGTTTCATACACTAATTAAATGGCAGGACTTAGCACTACTTAGCTGTCAGTTTTAATATAAGATTACCTAGATCCAAGCCAAACCTCGAATACTGAAACAGTGATACATTCAGTTCTCCAAGGAACCACTCACCTTCCTGCCCACCTGATGGCACCATTGCTCCACTTACAAGAAGTTAAAACTACATTCTATCTGCTCGAATTAACTCGAGTCAGAACACTTCTAGTACCCCACCTGCCCACTTCTGTGGATGACTCAGTTCTGCTAAATCAAATCATCTCTGAATACAGAATGCTAACATCTTGTTTTCCAGAACGTGGGAGCGGGATGCAAGTCTCAGGAAAGGTCTGTAGTGCTAGTCTGCAGTTGGGAAATAAATACCTTTTGTTGGATCCACTTTGCACACTGAATGCCTTTAATGCTATCCATACAACCCTACACACCCAGCATGCCAGCTGTACTTAGCAAGCTGCACACCATGGCACAGAGATACAAAGAAGCAAGACGTGGTTCTACCTGCAGAGAGGTGGAAGTTGAGAGCACAGTTCCCCTCTCTGGTCAGTATGAGACCTGAAGGTCTGCACACAGAGATCCAGAACAGAGATTCAGTACCCTTTAATCATATCCATGCTATTTTCTTGCAATATCAATGTAAAAAGTATTAATTGTTACCATAATCCATAGTTATTTACTTTGCATGGAAGTCTAATTATAAAGATGTGGTTTTACAACACACACAGATGTAACTGAAGGCAAAGGCAGATGTGTTTTGAATACAACTAGGTGAAAAGCACTTTGAAAAATCAAGTCCCTGGTGCTTCATAATGACAAACTGGAGCATGTTGCCCCAGTAATCAAAGCTCTATTGCTTTTCTTCATCTCAAAACTAAGGATAACTTTATGCCCACATCTCACAGGGCTGTAAAAATAAATGCACAAATGTTTGTGAGGTAAGTATGATAAGAAATCGACATATTGATGAGAAAATGAACATGAGCCAGCAGTGTGCGCTTGCAGCCCAGAAAGCCAACAGTATCCTGGGCTGCATCAAAAGGAGCGTGACCAGCAGGTCGAAGGAGGTGATCCTGCCTCTTTACACTGCTCTCCTGAGACCTCACTTGGAGTATTGTGTGCAGTTCTGGTGTCCTCAACATAAAAAGGACATGCAACTGTTGGAACAAGTACAGAGGAGGGCCACGAGGGTGATCAGGGGACTGGAGCACTTCCCGTAAGAAGACAGGTTGAGAAAGCTGGGGCTGTTCAGCCTGGAGAAGAGAAGGCTGTGTGGAGACCTCATAGCAGCCTTCCAGTATGTGAAGGGGGCCTATAGGGGTACCTGGCAGTGTTCAAGGCCAGGCTGGACAGAGCCTTCAGTGGCATGGTTAGTGAGAGGCGTCCCTGCCCATGGCAGGGGGGTTGGAACTAGATCCTTTCCAACCCTAACAATTCTATGATTCTATGATTCTAAGTATAATAAAGAAGGGCACCATTAAAATATTGCTAATTAATTAATCTTGGGGTTTTTTACAAATTGAAACAGTAGGCTGGAAATTAGGAATGATGAGAATGCAAAACTCTGGTTGCTCATTAACTGAAGTTCATCCAGCGTGTGCAGTTAAGTTAGGGTTCTGATTGAAAAGTAAGAGTGTGATGATGTCTTTGTAATTTTGACATAATACAAACAGAGCAATCAAATCAGGTTACAAAAATGAACTAATTGCTAACAGTTCCTAAACTAGGAAGTATGGTGTATAGGGGATTTTGGCTTACATATGTAATAAAAATAGACATCCAAACAGCCTTTCAAAATAAACTACATGGCTTTAACTATGCAGAACATTATATTTCCAACTTGATAGTTACCTCCTATGTACTTTCTAAAAAAATTTGGAACTCTTGAAAAGTTTGCTCTTGGGCATTAACCTCACAAAAACCTGTATGACAACTGTCTTGTACTGTACTTGTTGGAGCTATTGAGGAAGATGTTTCAGTATTTGCAGATCAAAAATCCCCATTTCAAAATTATCTGGAAACACTCTAGTGGCTCTGATGCATAACACATTTATGATAAGACATTATGGAAAAGGAAGGAAACATTAATACAGTGTTGGGGGAAATCTATGGAACTTCAGTGAATACTCAATTATGTGTTCATTATACATTAGTCCAAAATACATTTCCACTAACATTAATGAATGAACCATGCCCTGATAGTGGAGAATTCCCCTTAACAGTGAAAAAAAAGAATTACCCATCAAACAAAATCACATTTATGATTTCAATGTCATTGCAGGAGAGCAACAAACAAAGGAAAATTAGAGGAATTAGTAACTGCAGTCTGACTGCCGGGCTAAAAGCTCTCATTATTGTCGGAAAATGCTATGTATCTCAGCTGATACCATGTTTTATATTTTCACTAAGTAATACGGGCCACCTGAAGATCTTCAAACATCATACTAATATTAACAGCTAAATGAGAGAGAAAGGTGCAGACAGCTCAGATAACTGAGCAGGCAGCTCCTTTACTTACCCACATTTACTCCCACACTGATTAGCCTCCTAGGCCTACAAATCTAAGACAATTTCACCACTTACCATTCCATTAAGAACAGTAAAAAATTAATGACAAGGTAAGTCTGATATCAGCTTCAGTGATCACTCCAGAAAGTTAAGAACAGCTTGTGACTACAGTAGTTTTTAGACCTTTTCTTCTTTTAGTATACTAAGCAGATTGGTGAAGAAAATGCTGTTTTCTGTCTACATGAATACACTTCCTTTCTTTTTTTCTTTTCCTCTCTGTCTCTCACTCACATAGGTTGTCAGATACTGTGAAATTTCTATAACTGCTTATTATGTGCTTTAAGAAAGCTCCTCAAATTGCTCCCTTAAACTGAAGAACACTCCTCTGGAATCATACGTTTGGAGGTCTGAGACCATGGACTGTATTCTGCAAACGTGTCTATCCAACCCTTTCTGCCAGAGTCCCTATGTATGTGATTGTCTTTTGTCAACGGAATTTAGTCACATGCTTTATGCATGTGTATTAAGTGCTTGTTTGAATCTAGACACCTGCTTCTCCTTTATTTAGAAGGCCATTTCTGTTAAACAAGTGACTTTTGATGATTACTTCTGATAAGGTTAACTCTAATTATAGGGTATTTTTACTTTATACCTCACTAAGGGTTACACATCCTCCTACTGCTGAAATTAATGGCAGAAATCCCACTGCCATCAATTAGGACAGGCAGTGAATACAGCACTGAAGTGGTTCCAACTCTATTTGCCTTATTTTACCATGGCTTCTTACACTTTGGGTCATAGTGAAATACAGCCATATGCAAAAAGCCTTTGGTAACAGTATAGTACCACTGTACATATCTTTTACATGTCACAAAAGGCAGCTTCCAGATTATTTCACAGCCTCCAATTTTAGGGCACAGTTATTCTTGAAATGCACAAAAAACCTGAACAATTTAGACTTTTAAAGCTCACTCCACCTGACACTGTCTGTAATGCTGACAGCAGACAAGTGTCTTAAACAATTACATTTAGGGTCAGAGATTTTTTTGTGTTACTGAGTCACAGAAGCACTTGCAAGTGCGTTTAAAGACAGCAGACAGCATATCAAATGCTAGCAGAGATCTTCCAGGACAGCTTTTTAAGTGAAAAAAATACCCTGATCAGATCAAGCTCTGTGAATTACTTACGCTATTCATCATTTATGTTAGTCTATTCTGCTATCATTTTCAAATAGAAATCAATCTCATTTACACAGAATACTAAGGACATAATTTAAAGTGGGGAAAGTACACAAGATATTTCTCTTTACATGAGAGAAGTACCTGTCTTAGTTTAGCTCCAGACTCACAGTGCTGCAGGATGGATTCTACAGTCCAGATCTCTGCTCAGTGCTCTGGGTAATGTCCTCTACTTGCTGCAGGGAAAGAAACCTTTGTCACTGAGGCTTCCAAGGCCTGGATTTCATCCTTCATTGTAATAATGCACAATACCAAAAAAATCAAATACTAAACCATGTTCTTAAACTCCTCTGTTTAATATGGTAAAAGATTATGGCTCAAGCAACCATTCAAATTGGATTCTGTAATTATTTCTGTATGATTTAAGCATGTGTCTTAAGAGACAACTTGAAGTGGCAGGATAGAACTCATTTTGTTGTAAAGGCACTTTCCAATTATGATAACTATATTCACACTAAGATTCTCTGCCATCACCACTGAGACATCAACATTAACGTTCCATCACACAGGTTACCGAGTATCTATTTCTATTTCTTCCAAACTCATTGCAAAGACAGAATCTGTTATCTAGGATCATGATGCAATTGTTCTGGCCCTAGCACAACCAGGACTGAAAGATGGGAATTGTGTGGGTTTCACAAGTTGCTACAGTGCCTCTTTACAATGTTGTAGTTGGTCTCAGGTTAACACCTCTCCTCTGATCTCACCTGAGACAACTGCTGATGTTTCCTTTGCATCTGCTTGAAGTCTTTGGTTGACTGCCACTGCTAATTAATTCTATACTTTATACCAAACAGAACACAAAGAGTACAAGACTAGTCCACAACCTGACAATGATTTACCAAAACAAAACTATCCTCTAATGATTAGAGAGGTGAACGGTACTTGATTAAAAAAGAGTTGGTTTATAAGTGTAGATTCCTAGCAAGAAATTATCAGTAGGATTTCTCTGTATTTCTCAGAACTAGACTTTTGTGTTTAATTCTGGAAGTCTGAAACAAAACAAAAATGTCTTTAATATTCCTGTATATGTTGTCCATAAAGACACCTCCAGAGAAAAGAACAAAGTTATAATGGCACATAAACCTTCACATGAACAACTCAACAGCACTTTCAGATGTCCCCACAGAGCAGAAAAACAGAAACCAAACAAATTAATAATTTCTCTTGTATTTCACAGGAACAAGTGCTAAACATTCCTGGAAACTGTGCAATACTCAGATTCTGCACCAGATTTTGCACAGTTGTTAACTGCCTACCTAGCAGCTGTCGTTCTGGTCAAATTATTAGGTATTTTCTTTATAGCTTTACATTGCTTGCATAATACCTTTTAGGAAATTTCATTTATGGATCTCAGGTTTTGAACCCCTAAAAAGGGATTACAATCACCTAAGAAAATACCCCAGAAGTAAAGAAAACAGGCAGATGATTTAGCTGTAAAATAGATGATCTAATTAAAACATCTCTTTCTATATTATACTCATCCCTGATTATTTCATTCTAATTGTAGTGAAGGGAAACCTGTACTTCAGATGAAGTGTCATTAATAAATAAATAAAACCCAGTAACCCTAGATTCCCAGCTGTATCAATATACAATGACATCAACATGATTCTGAAATTCAGCTCTTTTAGGCTTTTGTAAGCCATCTTTCAGCCAGGATTAGCATCACTTTTGTTGTCAGTGTTGAATTTCAAACATTAAAAGATCCCTTCATAAGCAATAGTGAACTTGTAGCAATTAGCTCACTTTTATTTGAGATCATATTTTAATATAATACTAATTCTGGCTACTTTGTTAATGTTGAATACACGTAAAAACAGTTCAGCACTCTGTGTGCCATGGTAGAGTGTATGAAGTATCCAGATGACATTGAGCGATTATATTTGGTGCTTATATTTTAATACAATTTCTGAATTAGTTGCAGACATATTTTGAGCTTGAGTATTAGAAGATCACCTTGATCTCATCATTTTCCTCTATTCCACTTCTATTTTCTCATTCTCTTTAGCTTTCAATATTTAGTGTTGAAATGCAAGTCAAAAATTTAAGCAAAGTATGCAGATCAATGAGCAGCAGAAATAGAGAAGGAGCATAGTAGGAGCGAGCACAAACAATGGAAGCCTACTGTAAAGTAACGTCTATTGCACTATCATGGAGACCTAGAAAAAACGTTTTCTCAAGGAACACCTTGACAGTAAAAATGTCAAGAGGAAACAGTAAAAACCCCCTTCTTTTAAAACTCGCATCAACTTGTGATGATTGTAAAGGGGAAAATTCACAACAGAGCACAAAAAGGTACCCTCAAGGATGAAAGCTATTTCAGGGTGATTCCATAGAAAGCACAGTATGTGCTTCATTCCCACTGCCACTGTCTGGCAGATCATAACATCATGCAAATCTCAGACAGAAAGTACGTGAATATATAGTTTTGAAAGATGATGATAAATGAAAAGAACACCAAAAGACTTGAGATCAGATCTTCAATTTGTATAAATAAACATTGTTTGATTTCTTTTAACCAGACAATACGAATTTACAACAGGCCAGGGTTCTCAGGTTTAGTGGGAAAGCATTCTTCCAGATTACTACAATCAGTTTTTCTAATGAGACAGGAGAGCATTCTTTTGCTACTAGACAGCTGATATTTGGGATTAAAGATATATCTGATTATTTGTGATCGATGCACCTTCTTTTGTGTACAAAAGAGACAGCAAGAAAGGTAAAAGTATCATTAAATGATGTCTGCTTTTTCATGTCAATTATACCTATTTCTCTATTAAAATTCAGACAAACAGGTGCTATGGAACAATTGCTATGCTTGATAGTTTTCTTACTGTCATTAAACCAACCAGGAGTAAACCCACTGTAGTCCATTAACTTCCACCAGGGCTTAGATACATTACTACTCTACTCCACAGCATAATTTGTAACTTTTTCTACTGTAAAAAAAGTTACTTGTTCAGCATAACATGCTATTTCTATCCATGAAAAAATCAATGCTCAAGTATTTGGAGAAAACTACTTTAGATATCATAATAGACTATTATATTATAAACTCTAGCCAAAATACAGGTGGGTCTTATTGGTTTTCATCCTACAATTTTGTCCACATAAACCCCCTTAAAGATGGAAATAGCTTTTTTTTGTCTGAAGGAAATCCTCTTATCTGTTGTTCTTGATTTTCTTAAGGTTTTTGTTTTTTTTTTCAAAGCTAATGTTCATGAAATGTAACAAGCCCCCACTTATTTATACCTACAGTTTTAATTTCTTATAAGGAAATAGATTCTGAGAGTGTGTTGTAAAATGTATATAAATGTATCTCCACACTAACAAAGTCTGATCCCTACCACTTCAAGTAAGTCTCTTATTGATTTCATGTAATTTCAAGTATTCAAAATAGATCAATAAGTAGGCCATCTGATTACACATAATGTTCCAGGGAATACAAACAGGATCAGCTTGTTCAGCTTTATCTAGTTTCAGAGTTTTGCTCTCACTGAAGGCATTGGTTTCTGTTCCACCCCTGATCAGGGACAGCACTGCAATTTAGAAACTGGCCAGGAAATCAGAAATGCTGCTTGCTGGAGAAGAATCACCCCAAATTACAGCATGCTTTCCTCTATGCTAGTAACAAGTTATTTTTGTCAGAATGACATCCTGTCACCTCAGATCTTTCATTTTCAACTTCCTTTATACATTCCAATGGATGAACAGACTCCGGGAAACCAAGCTGGTTTCTTTTCATAAGGATTTAACTGCTGGAGTCATCTTCCAATGAGCAACTTTAAGGTCCAGAGGTTAACTGAAATCTTTAGCATACTTGGAGACTGAAAGGCAACGTTTTGATGGCACAGTTGTACTTAATAAAGCACAAGAGGATTTATTAAAAAAAAACGGTTGTTCTTGTCCATATTATCTTAGGATATAAATAGAAAGAAAAGTTTAATTAGTTAAGGAAGAAATTTGAGCTAGGTCTCAAACCAAACATTCGATCCATCAAACAGTAACCTAAGTAGTGGTTATTGTCACCTTTTGAATCCTTTATAAGCCAGACTGGCAAGCCAGAGCCAACATTACTATTTTGCCTGGTATCTCCTCAGCTATTTTTCCTTTACCTACCTGAGAAAACTATAAAGGTGAGCAGCTGACTTGAGATTAATTAAATGAAATTACTGTGCAGAGCTGCAACAGTAGTAAGTACAATAACCATTGTTCTAAGATTATTATTTTAATTGCTGGAATTACATATGGATGGATCTTATATAGAGATAAGTATCAGTTTTCTTTTTATTCTTCAGAGCTGTTGGGGAGAAAACAGAAGCAAACCTTCTTGACTGTCTTTTTTCCACTGCATACACTGTTATTTGTATTGCTATGCATTCCAATAAGACTAATTATAAGATTAATGGTTACATAGAGTTTAAAAAGTTCTGTATTTCCACAAGATGCAGATAAATTATAAAAAAAGTGATCATCAACTCACAACATCATTTATGTAATCCCTGTAATTAAGAAGTATTATTTCAGCATTGCTATTTTTAAGGAAGTAATATACTAATTCTTCTAATTTGTTTAGGAATAGCAGCGGTGATGGTTTGGTCAATGATTTTTTGTAACATGCACTTACATTTCACAAATCTGTCTGCAATATATTATTTTGCACAGGTTTGAAATGAGCCTCACAGACATTCTAAGCCCTTCCGATATTGCTGCTGCTCTGCGAGACTGCCAAGGTGAGCAAACAATTAAAACTCAAAATCTATTACTTTGCGTAACACGTGGCAAGTTCAATGCAATCCCAAAGGAATACTGAACAAGTATGAATACATACTGTAAACGTGTTTCTATAATCTCTTTACTTAGCTGTCATGACTGATTTATATTGTCAGTTTGTAACATCCCCATGTGATCTTTTTTGCTGTTTAGGAGGGTACGGTTCAGTACAGCAAAATTTATTCTTTGACAAGTTTTATCTATTGTTCATGTTTAGAACAATTAAACTGTAACAAAGCAGCATCTTCAGACCTTTTAGGAACAGTGAATGCAGTGGTCTGGCATTAATTCGTTTATTAATTTATTTTCAGCTCCAGATTCCTTTACTCCCAAAAAATTCTTTCAGATCAGTGGAATGTCTAAAAAGAGCAGCAGCCAACTGAAGGAGATCTTCCGGATTCTTGACAATGACCAAAGTGGCTTTATTGAGGAAGACGAGCTCAAGTAAGGATTTTGTTAACTGTTCAAGGGGTATCAAAAAATCTGCACTTTTTTTCTTTCCAGAACTGTTTTGTACATGAGAGCACAAGTTATGCTGAATGCTGCTAAAACTTCCAGCAGATTGTGAAAGGTGTATTTAAGTAGATAATCCCTACAGAGAGACAAATAGTAAATACCTGCTTTTAATGCTCAGTATACAAAAAAAAAAACTTCCTTGGGATGGATTTTGGTAGTGGGTAGAATCAATTGTATCAGGGCAGGACTTACAAAACAGAAATGTATGACTAAGATTTAGTTTGTCTACCAAAGCAGAGTTTGAAGAACTTGGTTATTATGGTAAATAATTTATTTATATATAGCTATCATTTTGATTATACAGCCAGCATAAAATAATGATATTCTGTGAAAATTGTAATCAAAGTTATTTTCTTCCTAGGTATTTCCTTCAGAGGTTTGAGTGTGGAGCCAGAGTGTTAACCTCCTCAGAAACCAAGACCTTCTTGGCAGCTGCAGATCATGATGGGGATGGTAAAATTGGGGCTGAAGGTATTAATGTATTTATGTACGGAATAAGGCTCCTCAGGGTGTGTTGCAATGATGTGTGATTCTCTTTTATTCCCATGGTACATTAATGTACCTCCAGCAATTTTACTGAAACCCTTGTAGTAGCAACCTGTTTAAGGGCAGAAATAGTCCCTAATCTTACAGGTTCATCTCTGCAACTCCTTTTGCATGAGCAAGTAAAAAAAAAACCCACTTAGGCTGCCCTAAGGAGCTTTCTCACAAGTTTACAGTTGTTTTGAAAGGAACTGCCCGTTATTTCTCCTCCCACTTACTCTGATTTATGGCAGCACTAGCTGTAATACACAAAAGTAAAATTAAGGGCAAAAGAACCACCTCTTCACAGGAGAACCAACAGCACCTACATAGGCTCATTTACAGCAGTTATCACCCAACAGAAGTTACACTAATCAATGAAATCATTCACAGTATGCAAGAGCTAGCAGCATGTAGTTTAATATTTGTTTTGCATGAGAAGAACAGAATGATCAAGTGTCAGTACCCTGACACGAGATTCCACAACAGGCTCCCTTTATCTTCAGTGGCAGTTGAAAGACCAGATAGAAAGGAGCAGCTGTTCTAAGAAGTAGCATATTGCACTCACCCTGTGGAAATGCTGGTGTGATTTAATGGCTGCTCAGTGCAGAAACCTCTTGATCTCCTAATTGCGTATTTCTGTGTCCCATTTTGACCAGGAAGCACACACTCACACAAAAGGCTTGCAGCTAGTGGCAACTTGCCCCATGAAAGAAGCATGCTGCCTAGACAAGCATGAAAGGGGCTTAGGGAATAGCATGCAGGGAATGTGCTGGTATGCAGATTCCCTATCGCACTGTGCCAGGAGGACAGAATTCCTCTGTTTCTTTCTTTGGAAGGAATTAAATCCAGTTCCTTAGGAAATATGCCAGAATAAACACACATGTTTATGAAGCAATCTATATACTAATACAGTCATTCAGGGATGGGACTGATCAAAACCTCTAACTCACAGAAGACAGGCATTTAAAAGATCTTCCAAATAACAATATCTTACTGCACAACAATACTTCAGTATCATTCACATGGAACAGCACATTGGTTTTGGCTGTAGACTGTGTTCTAAATCAACATTTTGCTATTGCTGAAGCGTTACAAATCACTAATAAGACACATGGATTCACTTTTAATTCTTGTATTTCAGGTCTTAACTACTTCTTACTCAAATTACATAGTAGCCATTCTGTTATTTTTGCCCGAGATAGTAATATGCAGAGAGAAAGCTGAAACTACCCTGAACGTTATATTATTCCCTATAAATGGCAGCAAAACACTTCCATCTGTTGTTTAGAAGGACATTAGGCAATGTCTCTCAGTCATCTATCAGGTAATAGTTTTCTGTTAAATCCTATTATAAATCTCTTGATAAGCCACTAATCTTTTACTCCTATTCCTTTCATTTTAGTATTTCTACTGTAAATATTCTTTTATCTTTTGCAGAATTCCAGGAAATGGTGCAGTCTTAGAGGTTCGAAAGGACCAAACAAAATACAATCTGGGTGAATCTGCACAAGACACTCCAAAACCTTGAAAATCAGGACTCCCTTATTTATCTTGATTGTGACTTGTTCATTGCCTTAAGTAACATAATGAAACACTGATTAATGATTTTTTTCATTGTGTGGAACATTTACCATGCTCTAACCTCTACTTTAGCAGACACTTCCCTTAAAATATCCAATAAAAATTGATTACATACTGTAGCCTGTGTCTGTTTTTCTGACTGCGAAACTGAAATATGTGAATTCTTAAGAGTGTTAATACCTCCAAGATCTTAATCTTATCAGACCTTCATATATGGAACATATCTCAAAATCTATTTACAATAGTCCTTCTGGATTAAGCTTGAAGTTCTCAAAACTCATATCTTCATCAAAGACTACAAGCTGAGATACAGTTGTGAGGTAGGTGCAGATAAAATCTCTCACTGACTTCTAAGTGAAAAACAGTTGTAAGTTTTTGCTTAAGATGATTTCTACATGAGATCATTGCTGTTTCAAACTATTCTTTCTATATTAGCCGATGAAGAGAACGAGAAAGCAAAACTCACATTTTCCTGTGGAAAACCTCTGTAGACTTAAGGCTTCAGATAACTATAAGGCTTTACAAAGGAGAGGGGAACCAAAACCCATCATCTTAGTGGTATTCTCTAGCTTTCTCAATAGGGAAGACTAAAACTGTGCAGGAAGAATTTGTAGAAATGCATGCTGAGAAATCTCCAACATTCTCTCCAGTCTTTTCAGTCTGTGTCTGCCATATTAAAAGCATCCTTCACAAAAGCATCTATTTCTAGGGATGCTGAAGAAACACCTTTTTATGAAATTCAGTCATTAGAGAGGTGTTTAGATGCTCTGATGGAGTATTTATATATTCATTTGCTTTCTCAACATTAACAAGTGCTGTATACTGCAGTTCACACACATGCAGCTTGTAGGAGTCATCATAACAAAACAGAAGCCTTTTCAGCAAAGTGAATGGTTTAGTCACTCCAGTTTCAATGCATTTCTTCCTTTGCTGCATGCAAATGACTACATTAAAAATTAACTGCAATTTTTCCTTGTCAAAAGTCTCTATAAATACTGGTAATGTTCAAAAAAAACCCACCAAAGCCAGAGCTGAATTGTTAACAAGAAACCAGCTGTTGCTGGGGAAGAGACTGAAGAATCTGAATACACTTGTGAGAAGGGCTATATATCTTTCAGAGCAACAAAGGAACAAAGACAGAGTCTTTCTCTCTGACGCTTCAATATGCCAGCTCTCCCAACCTGTATTTTGCAAACCTAACAAAACAGTAACTAAAAAACTCCTGTTGATCTCAAACATGTTCATCATTGAAGCAAAAGCAGTTAAATAAATCCAAAATTTCTATCTGCGATCCTCCAAGACACCCTAAACAGCTGCACTAATACAAATTCTATAACATTTCACCCCCAAGTACTCACCTCTGTGTCTTCTCTGCAGCCATCTACTTCTCTAGGAGCCAAGTACTGAAGAGCCAGCCAGAACACAGCTCCTGCCTTTAGAAAAAACGTGTATATTAATCCACAATTCTTAATAGCTGACAATTGAAAAGAGAAATTTTGTCCCATTTAAAAATGTTTTCAAGCAGCTTAATTTGGGATACAATACGTTTGTAAGCTGTATACCCAGTACACAAGAATTTAATATGGTCATCAATTTTTCCTTTTATTGTGCAAAAATAATACAAACTGATAAAAAATAATATTTAATTTGAATAGTATTTCTTAATATTATGAAATATGCTCACCTGACATAAGTCACTAGAGTATCAGTGACTTTAACATAGCTGCTCGGATTTACACAGTCTGAGGATCTGACCCATGAGAATCTGACCCATGTAAATTCTCATAGCACAAGACAGATGTCACAGGATATTGACAAGAAATAAAGTGTGTTCTTGGCAATGAAAACCAGTCTGATGACAGAAGGGTCTTGGAGCAGTTCACATGTAAGTTACAAACAAATCCCTCTCCATTTCACTGACAGTTTAGTGTCCTGACCTTGACTAATTGTATTATATCAGGCAGGTAAATGCATGTAAAAGAAAGAATATTGCAGTTGCTCTTGCACTCTGAACTCTGGCTCTTCTCAATGTTTCACCCTTTGCACTATGCACCTAGTCAAAGAAACTCAGAGCCAAAGTATAAATGCTGTTATTCCTCACTAAGAGGCAACACATTGCTGGAGCAGCTCACTGGACAGAGGTGGACAGAAAATTCATTCAGTGCCCTGGCCCACAACAAACTTTGGTGAAATCAGAACTTCCTTCATTTCTTAGATAAGAAGAACATACCACAGCTGTCTGCCTCTAAAGTTTTGTGTAAAACATCTGAACTACAAAACATACTTAGGCCCAATCAAGAGACAGGGAACAAAAGAGTAGGGAAGCACTTTGTGACCTGACACACACCTTCTTAATTAGTTTCCATGTAAAGGCTTTAAAAAATCTTGTTCATTATTACTTATTCAAAGTATGTCTCAATTGTTCACTGATAGCTTATTATTGTATACAGGTGGTGCATTACAGCACCAAACAGAAAAAAAAATACAACCCACTTACTCTACTTGAGTTATTCTGAGAATTCTCTAACATCCAAAGTATTGCAGTTAAAGGAATCTTTACATGTATTTTCAGCAGGAAAAAAAGCACCTTAAAAAACCTTCATAGTACAGAGGCTACTCCAGCAGATTACTGTTCTCTGAGGGAGAGCAGGTTAAGTAAAGGAAAACTTGTTGACTCGCAGGATTTCTGAAGTAGAAGAAACTTTTAAAGTTAAAACAACTTATATGGGTTCTCTAGAATCCTTGAAATGCTAATTCATAATTTTGAATGTTCTTATAGAACATGTGACAGTGATAACTCAAACTGGATTTACTCACTGACCCCTTGTCTGCTTGATGACCTAAAATAAATGCCATTGGTACATCTCCTTCTAGAGACATGGTATATAGAATTCCAACTGTTTCAAGTAGGCACTTGTAATTCAGAAAACTCCTAGGCAGAACTTTATTGACTGACAACAAAGGAAAAACTAAAGGTATTTACTACATTTCACCACTATTTAACATGTGAATATGGGTGCTTGCTGAAGGGAATCAAAGGATTATAGAATAGTTTTGGTTGGAAGGGACCTTCAAAGACCATCCAGTCCAACCCCCCTGCAATGTGCAGGGACATCTTAAACTAGATCAGATTGCCCAGAACCACATCCAGCCTGGCCTTGAGTGTCTCCAAGGATGGTGCATTCACCACCTCTCTGGCAACCTGTGCCAGTGTTTTTCCACCCTCATTGCAAAGAATTTTTTCCCCACACGCAGCTTGAACCTCCCTCTTTTAGTTTAAACCCACCACCCCTCATCCTATCGCAACGCGACCTGCTAAAATGTCTCTCCTCATTTTTCTTATAGGCCCCTTTTCAGAACTGAAAGGCTGCAATAGGATCTCTCTGGAGCCTTTTCTTCTCCAGGCTGGACAACCCCAGCTCTCTCAGCCTTTCTTCATAGGAGAGATGATCCAGCCTTCTAGTCATTTTTTTGGCCCTAAATGAATGAGCAGCCTCTTTCTATGTTCATATATTTACTGAATGGGGTGAAAATAAGGACTGCATTCATAAACTGTACTCATTGCAAAGATTTGACAAGAGAGGCAGCATTCTGAAAGCTACTACTGACAACCACACATACAGACTGCAATAAAAGTTGCAACTAGTTTTCAGAATTACCACTGTACATCGCATACTAAAGTTATTCACTAGACACAAGTAAAAAAAATAGTTTTAGGAAGCTATACACGAAAATACAAGTTGACTTCCATTTCTTGTTTACTTTATTTACCTCATAATACTTTGTGCCATATCACTCTATTTATGAATAGCTAAAATTAAAATATAAAAGAATAAACAGTGGATTTATTCAACTTCTAAGCACAGATAATACCATACCTTAAATACATCAAACTATGACATAATTCTTCATATAGTTCTCTCTCATTCCTTACTATGATTAGCAGGGAAATAATTAACATTTTCCTATAATTCATCTTCAGAGCTGAAACACTTTTAATTGTCTAGCCCCTTCCTTGTTCTCTCTTCCCAGCTTTTCTCTCACATGCACTACAGACCCAGGCTAGTAACAACACTAAGTATTCCTGTTAAACACATTAAATAAATCAAAACATTTAAATACCTCAAGTTTTGCATGAAAGTAGGTGGTTATTGCTATTCAGTAACTTTGTAGCCTTAATGATAACCAAAGATAGCATAAAGTTACTGCATTCCTTTAGCAAATCTCTGATCCTCCAAAACAAATACATCCATTATTAAACTGTCTCTACTCACCACGACACTCAGATAGTTGCTCACATTCCTTGACATCACACTAAGAAGAAATCTGGGGGAGATGAGTGATACTCCTAGCAGGATCCCTGCATCTAGCTGCAGTGTTTCATTTTCACATCCAGTGACGAAGGCCTGTTGGAGCATTAACAAAACGTGCAGACCAGGGATACACACGCATTGTGCTTTTTGCTGGATCACAGCGCTGTTTTGTCATTTATTTGCTAAACTAATCCCAAACCGCTGAGTCTACACATTTGTTAACACATTTAGACCACATACTGTCAATGGAACAGCTATTTGAGCTGTCAGCTGTATTTATTTAGAGCTGTCAGCTCTAACACCCAGAGTGATTTATAATATACCTTTTTGTTCATGCAGCTGATGGAAATGTTCAAAATAGCACCTAGAAATAGGCTCGACAAACCAAAACATATGACTACACAACACCATTTCTTACTCCTACGTTTGGAAATGCATTGGAAAGCACTCATAAAGTTGTTAATTATCTCTTGATGCAGGGGTTGTCCTGCAAATTCCCAATGTACTTATGCAGAAGTTTAATTTTACATAATCATGGGCTAGGAATCACATTTCAAACTCAGGGTGATCTGATGCCACTTTGCAAATGTCAAGGTGTGGTGTTACTGCACATACAATTAAGAAGATGGGATGAAATTGGAACCACAATCGAAGTTTCTTCCTGCCCTGTTAATTTGTACATTAGAAATGTAATCATTTAATTGAACCTGTTATCACTTACTCTTTGTAGATTCTCACAGATATTTTCACCAAAAGCAATGTCAAGTTACAGATGAGGTCGCACTGAGCAGAATTATATTTTAGCAATCACTACACATATATTCCCTTCCTAGGGAAAGTTTGGCACACAAACACCTTCCCTAGCTATCACCAATTATACTAAGTATCCACTGCCCGATCATACATGCCTCCACAATATATCCCTTGCAACAGTATTTGTATTACAGCATAAAATAGGCACCCCAGTCACAGACCAGGATCTTCATTGTGTTAAATCCTGAATAAACACACATCTAAACCTTTAAGCCAACACAAGCCAAAATCCACTGTCACTGCAGCTTTATAATTTCTTTGGTAAGAAATTAATTGAGTATTAATTTTAAAAATTTCCAAGTTTTACATTAAGTAAGTAGTATAAAGAAATTAACTTCCCTTCGCGCATGCAGCCCTCATCAGCCCTCCCTGTAGTACAACAGAAGCGAGGAAGGGGACTTTGCTTTTCTCATTTGATATATTCGGTCCTTACTGGATGTTCCCATAAACTGTCTCATCTGTGTTGCAGCCTTCAGATGAACAGACCATAACTCTAAAGGGCTGATCTGTGCACACTGATGAATTTTAACTCAGAGCTGTAGGCTAGGAATCAGTAATTACTGCATTTGGATGCCTCACCCTGACACATTGGCCTGATCCTTACTCAGTCCCTGCTCAGAGAAACCCCATGGAGCTCAGCACAGCAGGATCTTCCCCCATGCTGATTTCTTGTGCTGGCAAAAAGCCCATGTCACCTTCCATCACGGTCCCTCTGAAAACACCTGCACTAACTTAAAAATCACATTCTCCCCGCAGCTTTGGAAACATTTCCCACAGCTGTTTGAGACCTGGCTGGAAATGCTCTGTCTGCTGCTGTGGCTCAGCCTGTTGTTTTGCTCTTACATGCCCAGTCCATATATAAGGAGCTGCTCAGTTCTTGAAATGTTTTGGTTAAATGCCATGCATGGAGGCAGGAAAGGTGATACAGAAGGTGGTGATGAGCTCCATACCCATACTACATTTAGATGAATTCATGTATTCAAACTCCATATTGAACCACAGAATCATAGAATGGTTTGAGTTGGAAAGGACCTTAAGATCATCCAGTTCCAACCACCCTGCCATGGGCAGGGACACCTCCCACTAAACCATGCCACCCAAGGCTCTGTCCAGCCTGACCTTGAACACTGGCAGGGATGGAGCATTCACAACTTTCTTGGGCAACCCATTCCAGAACCAGCCAGAGAGGGCCTCAGCATATCTGTCCACTTGACTCACCAGACCTCACAGCCAGCCAGCATCTCCATTTTGTGCCTCACAAGAGGAAGCTTACTCCATTTGGCCTTTCCCCTCCCTTACAAAAAGCATCCGCTTCCATTTTGTGCCTTCTACCCCTCACAAACAGCAGCTCCCTCCATCTTGTACCTCTCTCCCTCGCAAGAAGTAGCCCCTTACCTTTTGTGCCTCACAGGAGGCATCCTCTTCCCTTTTGTGCCTTCCATCTCTCATAAGAAACAGCCCCTTACATTTTGTGCCTCCTCCCTCTCACAGAAGTCAGTCTCCACCGTTTTGTGCCTTCCGCCCCTCACATGAAACAGCTCCCTGCATTTTGTGCCTCCCCTCCCTCATAAGAGGTACTTTCCACCATTTTGTGCCTCTTCTCCCTCACAGGAGGCAGTTTTCTGCTTCAGGCCAGGTACCAGGAGGGTCTGCAGCAATAAGCATGGCAGTAGGATGTGACAGAGCTGCACGCTGACTCTACCAGCCCAGGGGGAAACAACGGTCATCTCCCTCTTGCTTACACCACTCACTTTTTTGAGTACAGACATTAAATATTAAATTACTGCAGTCTTACAGCATCTCTATTCCACACAGTGCTCCTACAGCACTGAACTGGGCTGTCAAAATAAGCCATCACCTGCAGAAGCTGATGAGGACTATCCTGAATGACGCTATTGGCACTGAAAGTGAATATAAACTAAGGGTGATGACAGGAACAGAAATAGTAAGTAAAGTGAAGAATTAAAACCACCCAAAATACTGTTTTTTCTTTCAGATTTAATCTGGCACAACTTCAAGAAAGCTTACCAGTACATTTTTCTAAATGATCTGCAGGAAAAGAGGTGTTCAATTGTATCTTTTATTCTAAGTGCTTATTTGAGCAATTATGTAACTTTATTCAGATTCCTAAATTTCATACTCCTATAGAGAAACAAAGTGGTACACCTCTTAACCATGTAGCTGGTTTTACTTGTCACCTAGATCACACTTAATTTTGATTAAAATGGGAATTGAAAAGTAACAGAAAAGCTTATTTTATTTGTTAAATACCACTATCTTAAATATTCCAGACAAAAACTCGAAAAACAAATCACAATAATTGTAGCTATTTATGGAGAAAGGATTACCTGCACTAAGTGTTGCTGGATGACATTCCTTTCAACATATTCAAACCTGTAGATCTCACCTTTCAGATCTCAAGATTTTACCTCAAAAGATAAAGCGTTTCTACTTTTTCTCAGCTGCCCGGCAGCTCTGAACAAATCGTAAGGGAACTAAACTGCGCGATGTTCGTTCTGTATACAAGGGGCGATAGCCAAATGGTGATTTGGCACTGCGGCACACACCGGCCTCAACGGCAACTTCCCTCCTGCAGAGGAGCTGCCTTGGCAAGGCTGTGCTGAGAAGCTCCATCCAGCTGGGCTCACGGACCGCCCACCAGGCACAACCTCTTCTTGAGGGAACACCCGACCTAAGCGGCTCCCCAGCGCCCTGCGGGTCCCCAGATCTCCATCCAGTGGCCGGAGCTGCTCCGGCCCAGCTAACCCCCCCACCCCGTCCGCCGTTTCTCTCCCTGCTGGCGAGGCGCTGCGGAGCACCGCCTCCAGCCGCGCTCGGTAGCACTTCCTGGCTGGCGCCGTGCTCTTCCGGGACGGGGGGAGAAGGCGGAAGTGCTGTGGGGACGGTGCCGGCGGAGGGCTCAGGGCTGCTCCCCGATGGTGTGTGGCGGCTGCTGGCTCCAGGCGCTTTCGCTTCAGGCTCAGTATGGCGACGGCGGCGGCGGGGGGAGCTGGACAGGAGAAACAGCTCGCTCCGACTCTGCTCAGTTTCTTCATCTACAACCCCAAACTAGGGCCCAAGGAGGGAGAGGTACTGGAGGCGGGGGTTGCGCACCGGGATTCTGTGGAGAGGAGGGTTCCCTCCCGGCCCGGCTCTGTCCTGGCCTCGGTTGCCGTAGGGGCCACCTCGGCGGCTGTCTCAGCTATGCCGTGCCTCTTGGGCCGGAGCAATTGAGTCTTGGGCCGCAGCAATTACCCGCGGTATTAACGCTTCCCCCCGCGGAACATCCCCGAACAAAGGCGGTCTCTGGGCGCGGAGCGGTGCTGGGGAGGAGGGAGCTGCGGCTTGCCGTGCCTTACCCTGCCCGCGGCCGCCTTACCGGCACCTGAGTCTCGGGATCAGCCGCCTTCAGGGGGGCCGGGGACTAGTGCCACATGTGTCTCTGCTTCAGACTAAAGAGGAATAGAGACCGAGTGTGCTTTCAACAGCACGCAAAATACTGCAGCTGGGGAGCTGGTCTGTTAGTAACTACGTTTTACTAATGCAGTAACTTTTTCTGAGAATAATTTTCTCCAGTTCGATACAGCATGGTAGAAAGGTTAGTGTTTAACTTGGTTAAATTCAAGTTATTGCTAGTGGTTTTTGCCATTGTGATCTTTAATAAGTAAATCAAGAAGCTATAGTTTCTGTTTGTAGATAGCAGCATATTGTATGGTTCATGTGATATCTTCAGTTTTAACAGTTTTTTGAACAGGGCAGTGCATTTATTAATGAGCAGGGTGATGAGACTGAGTGCCCCCTCTATAAGCCCCCAGCATATTCCAAGCCAGGGAGATACACTGGGCTGCTCTTCAGAGGCACCCTCAGCAAGCTGAGAGAAACACTGTGGAGCACAATGAAGGCAACTGCAAAGTTCTGTGTGTTGGATGAAATAATCTTGTTCATCGTGAAAGGCCAGAGCCCGACTGGTTAGAAAGCAGCTTTGCAAAACAGGACCAAGGAGTCCTAATGACCAGGTTGTACGTGAATCAGCAGTGTGCCCCTGTGGCAGTGAAAACAGCGTATGGGGTGTGTGAGAGTGTGTTAGCAGGTCAAGTGAAGAGGTTGCTTTCCCCCTGCTCAGTGCTTGTGAGGCTGCTGGTGCACACTGTGTTCCTCTGGGGCTTCTGGAGTAGGAAAAATACTGCCCAACTGGAGCAAGCCCAGTGGGGGGCCCCTGAGTCAGTCAGGCAACTGCAGTCTGTGATGTACCAGCTAAGCCTTAGACAATTGGATCTGTGCAGCCTGGAGAAGAGATGATGTGGAAGGGAGTCTTATGGCTGTCTTCACCTGCCTAAAGGGTGGCTATAGATGATGGAGTCAGATTCTTGAGGTAATGGTGATGAGACAGGATGAGAGGTAATGGAAGTCCAGCAAACGAAATTGTAATGAGATAAAAGAGAAAATTATTCATAGTGAAGTTGTCAAACAGCAGAGCAGGGCCTGGAAAAGTTGTGGAATCTTCATCTTTGGAGATATTTAAAACTTGACTGGAGGAGGCCTTGAGCAATCTGAGCTAGCTTTGAAGCTAGCCATGGTTTGACGTGGCTTTGAAGCTAGCCTTGCTTTGAACTAGCTGTGACTGGGGCCTATGATTTCAAGAGCCTTCAATTTATAAAGCATTTTGAGATCTCTTGGGATGACTGACTGCTTAAAAGTGCTTAAATATGCCTTTTATCTGTTATTACAGAAGCCTGTTTAGGTACAAGATAAAATTCTCCCTACGGATTTAAGGGATTAAAGTTAAACCTGAACAAACCATGGACCCAGTATTCTTTAACTCCAATTCTGTTAAAATCCATTTGCCTTGATTCTTTTCTCAAATTTTAGGAAGAAAAGAAGATTCTCTTCTATCACCCAAATGAAGTAGAAAAGAATGAAAAAATTAGAAATGTGGGACTCTGTGAAGCTATAGTACAATTTACAAGGTATGAAGTCTGATGGTATGGGTTGTTGTATTAGCACTAGTAGTTTAAATTTCCCAATCATACATTTTCTTTTTGTGAGTGTGTATAAATTTCTGTGTCTACATACATGTTTTCTTTCCAGGACCTTCAGTCCAACAAAACCTGCAAAATCCCTACATACGCAGAAGAATAGACAATTTTTCCATGAACCTGAAGAAAACTTCTGGATGGTCATGGTATTTATACATGTGATATGCATGTTTCTAAAACACTGTATCGCAATGTTCTCAATGCATTCTGCATTGTCTAATACCAGCCTGTTCCACTTTCTAGGTTGTACGGAATCCCATAATAGAAAAACACAAAGATGGAAAGCCAGTCTATGAATATCAGGAAGAAGAATTATTGGTAATACTGAACTCTTCCTCTTTTTTTGTTTTTTTTTGTTTTCTAATGGGATATATTGTATTCTAAGAGTAATCTGTATGTTTGATTCTTCTTGAATTGCTGCCAAATTGATTTTTTATATATATATATATATATCTGTAAATGAAAAAAGGGCAATAGAGTTTAATGAAGAGAGCAAGACAGAGAATTATCCATATGGCAATCCCAACAAGCATCAGTGAAATATGCAGCTTTTAGCTTGGAATGGGCACATAATTATTAGAGTCTGTTTGTTTAATAAAGTTCTTCCAACAACCTAAAATCAGTGTATTTTTAGTAGGTTTAAATATACATGTTACTTCTTAAGGCTGCTAGCAATCTTTGCTAAAAATCTGGAAAAACAAACAGCTCAACTGTCATGGGAGTTCTTGTCCAAACTACAGTATCATTAGGTCAGGTTAACCGTATACTGGAAAAGCAGTTGGTCAGGTGGGATGATAGCTGAAGCTGATGCTTCTGCTGCCTCCATTCATTATGGTGTGCACTAGTTCTGTTCCTCATTATGTTCTAAGAAAAAGATTGCTGTAATAGGCACGCTGTTTTGCCAGACAAACAATAAAATAGTCCTTTTTTCATCTGGGTTAAGATCCTAGTGCAATAAAAACCTGCTGTGGTGTCCCACCAACTTTAGCCTTTGGCCTGGATGAAGAGAAAACCTTTCAGAAATAAGTTTGTTTTCACTGCCCACTGGTGTTAGGAAAGGACACTATTTGTAACTGGTATCTTGTGCATGAGTTAACAAGGTGCTTTTGGTATTAAAGAGGGGGAAAGGGACTCCCTTTATTGAAATAGCATTTTATAAGTACAAAGAAATTTCTGAACACTGACTGAAAATGCAGTTTAACATTTCAGAGATTGATTTCTCCAATTCATGTGTTTGCTGGCCCTTTGAAAACAGATTACGTTCAGCTCAGCCAAAACATTTGAAATTCTGCTTCTGCTTATACTAATGTCCTACTCTTGTTTTCTGCAGGACAAGGTGTATAGTTCGGTCCTACAGCAGTGCTACAGCATGTACAAGGTAGAGTTAATTACTACAGGCTCTTCTTCTGGGCAGAGGAATTGATCCTCATGGTACCATTTGGATGTGCAAGCTCATCTGTTCCTGAGAGCAACATCTGTAATGGTGTTGATGGAAGAGAATAATAAAGCTTGTGTTGTACTTTATTATTAAAGTTACTTGTGCTAGTTCATTAATTTATTGTAAAAATAAAAGCCTTCTCATTTCTGCAAAGTCCAGATTTCTTCTTTTATGGGCAGTTACACTACTAAGCATTTGATTTTGATGGTATTAGATATTATCTGTTGAAGAAACAGTACTGGATAAAGGCCATGAATCTGAGCTTTTACAAAACAAGCGCATAAGATACTTAAGCCACATAAGTAATTTCTCTACCATCAAAAAATTTCTTCTCTCATGTTGCCTCTGCTCCCATACATGTCTGGACTCTGCAAATCTGAGCGATGTTTTTTTCAATAAAGAAGGGGTACATTTGAATCTATGTGGAATTCAGATATTGAGAAACAGGAGCTGTATTGTAATCTAAATATATTCATGGTCAAGTGCTAAATTACTGTAAATGATCCATCAACTGACTGATTTTTTTTCTTAACAAATAGCTTTTCAATGGCACATTCCTGAAAGCCATGGAAGATGGAGGTGTGAAAGTTCTCAAGGAGAGACTAGAAAAATTCTTTCATCGGGTAAGACCTTATTTTTCAGGCACATACAGTCTATTTCTGTCTTAGAAATAAAATGCAAACATCTTCTCTTAGGCAGCTGTAGTGTGAGTATAAAACATAGGCAGTGGAAAAAGTATAGTGTCAACACAACAAATCTGGTTACTCATTTTTTTTTTCAAAGACTTCTGATTCCTACTAATGTCGTAGGTTCTTTAAGTGGAGCTGAAACACAGCTCCGGGGTTATGGCTTGATGGCATAGGTTAGCTGTTGCATGTTTTTTCTGAAGAATGATGTTTGTTCTTTGGAAGTGCTGTTTTAACTTTTGAACTGGTTATAAATGTGATGATAATCTCTGCAGACCTACTAGAGTAACTGCTGCAGAATCACTCGGGTTGGAAGGAATATGAAGTTACCCAGTTCAGTCTTCTACATAAAGTTAGGGTAACACAGAATTCAAAGTGGACTACACAGGTATTTGGCTGGTTGAGTCCTGGAAATATGCAGGGATGGAGATCCCACAACCTGCATGCACAGACGTAAAAGTCCTGTAGAACTGTGACATAATGGGTAGCTGTAATTTTTAACTTCCCTCTTATTCTTTCCACCCCTCATGTGGAATTAGTAGTCATGGCTGATAAGCTTTTAGGAAATCCTGCCTTTGTTGTAACTAGTCTTCAGATTTTAATTTCAGTCTTCAAAAGCTAATGTGTTAGTGAAAGGATGGTTAACAAAACCTATTTCTGAGCAAGAAATCAATCAAATATTATTCAGGCATTTTTCACATAAAGTAACTGAATAGTCATGTCTGGCAGAATTCAGAGTTCCTATCTGAAGAGTTTCATCAAGCTGTACAGGATGGCATCCAATGTCTGCCTGCCTGCCCCCATTTTCCTTGTTTGTGTGGATGGAAACAGAGGACTGCTGTCAGCAGTTAATTCTCTTGTGGCAGAGATGTGAATATCGATATCTCTGGTAATGATGGAGTGTAGACACTATAATACTGGTGTTTAAAATCTTGTTCTTGTAACAGGTTTTTAAAGTAACACAGTGTTGTGACAGTGTAAACAACAGCACAGGCTTTGCTTGTGGGGTTTTGCGTTTTTTTTGTAAGAGTGGTGTAGACTTTAGAATGAACATTTGGCACCAGGAGTACTTGATTAACTGGTCTACACTTCTGTCTACACTAAATTTAAAAGGATATGGCAAAAACTTAATAGATTTTTATCTTTAAAACATTAAATTTCTTGGAAGTTCCTACTGAAGATTAAACAGTAATGGCTATAGATTTATATAGCAGAAAGAAGTCCAAGGAACAGTTGTTTCTTTTTTCACTGGGGAATTAGGAATGCTTAAAAAATTTGGTTGTGCAAGTTGTTCTGCTACAACCCTATGGAATAAATTAGCAGTGTGTTCCTGGCAGGCTTGAACTGCACTGAAACTGAAAGGAAATGAGACTTAGATTATAAACTGTGACAAAGATCTGTGATACTGTTTATAAGTAGTTTACTACTTGGGTTTTTTGGTAATGTGAAATGACTGTAGAGGGAGCCATTGGATAACTCATCTTTTACAGAGCAAAGCATTTGATAGTATGTTTGAAATCTCTTGGTAAAGGTTACAGTCTGTGAAGGAGAGTAACAGAAATTATGTTTTCCTTTGCACATGGAAAGCTAATGGACTTTTTATTTCTATAGAGTTACTTCTGAAATTGAATAAGATAAGCTGTGCTTTCTTATATTCTCAATAGACCTTGAGGTAGATTTAAAAGCTGTCATCACTGTGACTAAACAATAGCAAGCTGACAGCTGGAATCATATTCACACACTCGCACATAGAATCATAGAATGGTTTGCACATTGCCATGGGCAGGGGCATCTTCAACCAGGTCAGAGCCCTGTCCAACCTGGCTTAATGTTTCCAGGGATGGGGCACCTACCACCTCTCTGGGCAGCCTCTGCCAGCGTTGCACCACCCTCATCACAAAACAGTTCTTCCTTGTATCTGTTCTGAATCTCCCCTCTTTTAGTTTAAAACCATTACCCCTTGTCGTAGAATCATAGAATTGTTAGGGTTGGAAAGGACCTTAAGATCACAGAATCCCAAGGGTTGGAAGGGACCTCAAGAGATCATCTGGTCCAACCCCCCTGCAGGAGCAGGGTAACCTAGAGTACATCACACAGGAACTTGTCCAGGCGGACCTTGAATATCTCCAATGTGGGAGACTCCACAACCCCCCTGGGCAACCTGTTCCCCCCCTGCCATGGGCAGGGACACCTTGCACTAAACCATGTCGCCCAAGGCCTCGTCCAACCTGGCCTTGAACACTGCCGGGGTGGAGCAGTCGCAACCTCCCTGGGCAACCCATTCCAGTGCCTCACCAGCCTAACAGGAAAGAATTTCCTCCTTATATCCGATCTAAACTTCCCCTGTTTAAGTTTTAACCCATTACCCCTTGTTCTGTCACTACAGTCCCTAATGAAGAGTCCCTCCCTAGCATCCCTATAGGCCCCCTTCAGATACTGGAAGGCTGCTGAGGTCTCCACGCAGCCTACTCTTCTCCAGGCTGAACAGCCCCAACTTTCTCAGCCTATCTTCGTATGGGAGGTGCTCCAGCCCCCTGATCATTTTCGTGGCCCTCCTCTCGACTTATTCCAACAGTTCCATGTCCTTTTTATGTTGAGGACACCAGAACTGCACACAATACTCCAAGTGAGGTCTCACAAGAGCAGCGTAAAGGGGCAGGATCACCGCTCCTTTTGATGCAGCCCAGGATAAGGTTGGCTTTCTGGGCTGCAAGCGCACACTGAAGCCAGCTCATGTTCATTTTCTCATCGACCAGCACCCCCAAGTCCTTCTCCGCAGGGCTGCTCTCAATCTCTTCTTTGCTCAACCTGTCCTATTGTCCTGTTGCCTCAGGCCTTACTAAGGTCTGTCCCCACACAAAGGTTTTATGTCATACAAGCAGAACTGGAAGGGGTTTCTAGATTACTGGGGATTAGACTCAAATTTGTCATTTAAATCTACACATTGCAAGTTTTCTGAACTCTAAAAAACTGTCATTGTTATCTTAGTACTTGCAGACACTGCATTTACAGTCTTGCGATCTGCTGGATGTGTTTTGTGGAATCAGCTTCTTTCCCCTGGATAAAATGACTTATTTGAAAATTCAGTCATTTATTAATAGGATGGAAGAAAGCCTGAGCATAGTCAAGTATACTGCATTTCTCTATAATGACCAGCTTATCTGGTAGGTACTTCAGTAATTCTTTTGTGTTTCCTTGATTTCTCATCCTACAAATAAGTGCCATAAAGCAAAGCTGATGAATCCTGAATGGTAGGATGAGTGAAAGAGTGTGTAAGAAAGGCATTGGTCTGTAGCTTTAAATTCTCTGACCTATACCAAATGATTACGTGCCAGTTGGCCTGGGGAGCAGCTAGAGAAGTGTCCTTGTCGATTTCATCGCAAGAACCCCTGCACATACACATAATTTCATCTGTAGCACCTTTTAGTAGAGAAGGTTAATTAAAGGATTGTTCTTTAAATGGTTCTGAACGAGAAAGTTGCAGTGCTTCTGAAGAGCTCTACTTGAAGATGGACTTAAGATAGCAAACGTGATCTTTGTTTGCTGAAATATTATTCCTGTATCTCTTCCTGTTTACAGTTATTTATGTGTTTTGTATTCAGATATAACACTGTATTTAGAAAATAACATTTCATTAAAAATTGATGTTCTGGGATTTAATCTTCTGAGACACTGAAACCTTGCTACCTTAGTTTGGTATTCTTTGCCTGAGTTTTGCTCAGAGGGAAATGTGTGATCTGAACTGCAGCACAAACATGACTTGTTTCTTTCCCTCACTGATGGTCTAGGAGTGGACTGGAACAAGATGACATGAGAATTTTGTACAAGTATCTCACGACATCTCTGTTTCCAAGGCACATGGAGCCTGAGGTGTGGTAGTTGTTTCTTTTTTGGGGGTGGGAGGAAGATTGGGGAGAGTCATGGAGCTTTCTGTTCGTTTGGGTTTTGTTTCTGTTTTGTTCTTTTCTTTCTATTTCTCTAGTACCACTAAAAGTATTAAAGTTAAAGTACTAAAGAAGGGCATCTTCCCCACCCTTCCCTCTCCCCCACTTAAACTTTAGTTTAGGAATTCTGGGATGTATTGCTTTCAGGCCACTTTACCGAACTCAGTAGTATTTGCACTTAATGCTTACAACATGAATTGTGGGGATAATTTGAATAAGGGATGGTGATGGGGAGTTTACTGATGACTGCTCAGGGCTGCAAATGAATCACTTTGGCTTAATGGCAAAGTGCAGCATGGAGTGTCATAAGACCACTTGGAGTAATTTTCACTTCCCTCATCAAGAAGCACCATAAGCTAAGTTTTAAAATTTAATAAATGCAAAATGTAACAGAAAATACCTCTAAACTGTTTTTTCTTCTGTGTGTTCTTTTTTGCTTCAGTTAGCAGGAAGAGATTCTCCAATACGTGCTGAAATGCCAGGAAATCTACAACACTATGGAAGGTAGCTCTTGTTTACTGTCACCATCTACTGCTGCTTCCCTCAAGGATGAGCACATGTGTTACGAGTACATATTCCACACAGTTCAGTCGAGTGCGTCACATGGTAGTTGGTGCAATGTAAAACTGACTGCTGGAGGGGGAAAAGAGAAAAAAGCCATCATTAACATTACTGCACAGTTATTTTCTTCCCTGCTGTTCTTGTACTTCATGAAAAGTTTTGGAACTGTTCCAGTCATTTCTTCTCAGTCAGGCACTTCAGACAAAGATGTAGATTTAATCTAGGGATTTATCTATTTACTTTTCCTCTGTACTCAGCTTGTCAGAGTGGGGGATCCTGTACTGAGCAGCTGTGCAACGTGATTTTGAGTAATTGTGGGTTTGGACATTTTTCTTTAATCATGGTATTTTCTCTTGCCTGATATATTGTATTCTTTTGGGATCAAGGTACTGGCACACACTCCTTGTTCCATCCTGTGTCCCGCAGGTTTAGGTGCTTCTAATACACTGCTGTTCTACCTAAAACTGATGTGAATGTACTGTTAGCAAAGGAAAAGTGCTTTCCCAGTAGCAACAGAAAAAGGTGTTTTAAAGATAGTCACAACTTGAATGTGGAACGAGTTTTGTTGTTGTTATTTCGATGATCTGAGTGGTTTCTTTCCTTAGCATTATTCTGGCTTTCTGATCCTGTTTCTATAACACTTTGGAGCATATATGCAAATACTTCTGCAAAAATATGAGTTAATAGTGTTCTATGCCTATCTGGATAGCTGAAAACTCACTCTGTTAAAATACAGTCATACATGTAAGTATTGCTAGTTTCATTGTATATGTTAAATAGGGAAAACTGCAATAAAAAATTGGTCACATCTGACCTGTTGAATTATTTTCTAGGTTTCTTACTGGACCTTTAAATCTGAATGATCCAGAAGCAAAATGCCGTTTCCCCAAAATATTTGTTAACACTGATGACACTTATGAAGAGCTTCATTTAATTGTTTATAAGGTATTACCTCTTTCTCTTCAATTATTCCACAGAACTAGGAATCTGTATACAATGATCTTAAGTACTTATTAATTGTATAGAAAGATGCATTGATACAAGATTAAAGCAGAAAGACAGAAAAGTCTCTGCTGTTTCTCAAGATTTAAAGCCTGAATCCAATTTTCCCCTCTCCTGCACCCTCCCCAAAACAAACAGTTTAATTAAAACAAAATAACAGATTTCAGTTACTTATAAAGTGGTTTTATACCTCACCTTATGTAGGATTAGTCAATAAAAATTACAAATAATCATTAAAAAAAAGGCACCACTTAATTTTTTTAAGTGAAATGCAAGCTTCTTGCAGACAGTGCATTTCTAGCAACTTAAAAACTGGTAACTGAGCTGAATTTCAAAATCGTAAGAGATTATCCTATTGAAGTGTTACCTTTAAAATAGGGTTGGTTTTTTTAACTGGTTTACCATATGTGACCTCACTGAAGTATTGTCATTTATTTGAGGTAGCTGAGGTAACCTGTTGTAAATGGCTTTTTTTGCTTTAACTTTTTTGTTCCAGGCCATGAGCGCAGCTGTCTGCTTTATGATTGATGGTAAGTACCTATTAGCATCACTTTTTTGGCAAAACGTAGTACAAAATGCTATTACATGCAACTTGTTTTACTCTTGAAAAACACTGGCAGTAATTTCTTATTTGAGTTTCTTCACTCAGGGGTTTTTATCAGTCATTTGATTTTTTGTTCAGTAGTTTAACTTAATTTACACAATAAAATGACTGAATTCAGTTAGCAGTACACTTTCAAAATCATCCGTAAGGTTCTAATTAAGATAGAAGTTTGTCCCAGGACTCTCACTGATGTTTAAAGAAAACAGCTACAGAAACTGTACCTTCAACTGTGAGAGAAGACTCTCACTTCTCCCTTTTCTTTACCCATCACCCAGCTTCGATTCCACCTACGCTGGAGTTCTGTCGTAAACTGGACAGCATTGTTGGGCCTCAACTCACCGTGCTAGCATCAGATATATGTGAACAATACAACATCAACAAGAGAATATCAGGGTTTGTGCGACACTTCTGTTCCTTTTGCAGTCCCTCAGAAGTTGGTTAAAAATTAGGTTTAATGAACTGCTTAAATAATGGCAACATGAGCCCAAATGTTGAAAGCATCGAGTTGACTATGTTCTTTAAACAGTGTTTGTCTACCTTTCTGCATTTTAAGCATTTCTGGAGTGCCTAGTTTTGCATATTCAGGTCTCCCTGAAGTAGCAACATATACATTATTAGGAATGGATGTTTACTGTGTGTCTGAAACCTTTTTCCTTGCTGCAGAAAAAAATGTAAATATTAAGCTAAATCTCACTATTACCAATTGTGATTCTGCCTCATCATTCCCCTGCTGTCAGCAAGTTATTCAGATACAAGATGTGGAACTTCTGGGTTTTGCTTCTTTTATATGTGAACTGAAAATAGCTGATCCATGGAGATTATGAGTTTTAGAGATTACTGTGCTTGCAGAAATCCATACAAAATGGCAAAAATGCCAACTAAATGGTGTGGTCATCTGTCAGGGAGGGCAAGAAGGGGGGGGGGAGTGAGTGAGCAAGCTGTCTGTCTGGGTTTAAACCATGACAGCAACCCCGTGTTAAAGTCAACAAGTAGCAGTTCCTGCAAAATCTTAACTTCAGTGTATACTTTCTAACTTTTCTTATACTTCAATTAAAATTATAGTTGACTTTCCATAAAATTGTACTTATTTTTAGATTGATTTGTTAGCTGGGGAAGCCAGAGCAGTATCGCATATGACAACACAAGAGGAATTGAAGCAAAGATAGGTGTGTGACTGAGCTCGGTGGTAGCAAGCCAAATCAGCAAAATCGCAGGGTATAGAATAGGATGTGCCTGAAACTGTGCCAGTCTACTAAATCATTAAAGTTGGGGTTTTTTCATGTCACCTGGGACTGGCTTTGGCAGCTTTAACTCTTTTTAAAGTTTAATGCCATGGTGTCCTGAAAACATGATACAGTTTCTTGACACTCATGCATCTGGGTGACAGGAAAGAGCAAGGCTATCTAGTTGTTTGCTAAGGTGAGTGGTGTCATCAGAGTTATCTCCTTGGTTCTGAATAATACATAGCCTGAAGCACCAAGTGCTATAGCCAGTTTCTGCCAGTCTGAATTTGTTGTGACTTCTACCAAAACTACAGTTCTGAGCAGCAGATTTTATATTAACTTAATAGAAGAGGAAATGAAGGAGACTGCTGAGGGAGGAGTTTGAAAACAGTCTCTTGCTTAGCCCACACATATGATGGGAGGCAAATCTAATAGCCTGGATCAAGGAGGAGTTCTTTCTTTTGATTGTAACAAATAACAGAGATGTGAGTGGATTACTTATTGATCAAATGGAAGACCCAGCATCCATTGAAACCACATTGGGCTGGTACACGATACAGCAGCAAAAAAACAACGTAGGGACAGAGAAAAAACAGCTCATTAGAGAAATGCTAACTATTCTTGGGAAATGGGACAAGGCCTTTAGACTCCTCCATGTCTATTTAGTAGCAGCTTAAGCAGCAGAAGGGGAAACTAGTTGGTTTTGCAGGCTTGCTTTTTAAAGTGTGTTAAAGTTTGACATGCCACAAGTTTTAATGTACTTGAGTCTCTTCAATGTGAAGGTAACCTTAGGATGTCTGAGTAAGCTTTGCACTGGATTGTTACCCATTATCTGTGAAGCCTGTGCTTATAGAACATGTATTCACAAATCCAGTTTTGTTTGATTGTTTTTTATCTTCCTAGGGCTGAGAAGGAGCCTCAGTTTAAGTTCATCTATTTCAATCACATGAACCTGGCAGAGAAAAGTACCATTCACATGAGGAAAACACCCAGTGTATCACTTGCATCAGTTCACCCTGACCTCATGAAGATTCTCGGTGACATCAACAGTGACTTCTCCAGGTAATGCTTAACTATTTAATAGTCTGTAACTGCTTCTATAAGGTAGATTTTTTTTATACTTTTTTTTTTTTTAACAAGTGAACCTTTCCTGTCTTTTTGCTCATGGATGGCTGTTCAGAGCTCTGTGAGATAAATGGTGTAACATGGGTCATACCTGGATTTTTGTGTTGGTTTAGAAATAGTTTGTTTCAAACAAAACTTAGTGTCCTTTTAAAAAAATAATTTAAGGAAGGGCGAGGGCCTCTATTCAGGAAACTGTCTAATCTATTTGAAGCTTCAGAGAAGCTGTAACAAACTCAAAAGGAATGTGAAGCCTAGCACTTTTGCACTTAAGCCTGGCTAATCTCAGGATAAGTAGTATGACGGACAGGGAAACCTGCTTCTGCCCAGATGATAACCTCCTCTGAAACTGCTGCCTGATTCTAGGGATTAGACAATAGATGAAATGCAAACCCTGCAGTTGGTACAGTACCACTGACAGAGGAGATAACTGGCTTCTTATCAATGGGCATTGTGCTTCATGGTGGGAGAGACCCTCTGTCACTATAAAAAATAACATGAAAATGCTGAATAATTGTGATGTCTCTCACTACTGCCAGTTCTCCCACTCTACTTAAGGACAAGGTTTTCATTTGTCTATAAAAGATAATGTTCTGTCATACTGTGGAAGAACAGGGTTAGTGGTGGCTTTATGTAGTTGTTGAGCATGGTTTAATTCTAGGTTTAGCTGTTAGATACGTGAAAAATTAGTATCACCACACCATCCACCAGCTCCAACTTTCATTATTTGGTCACTGTGTGGCAAATGATTATTCTATGAAGTGTGCTCTTATGATGGAGTGATAGGGGTTTTCTCCAGAGTGCCTGAGTGTCGGTGGACAGTGGCTGATGGACATACTAATGATTAATCTAGGGATGCATTTGTCCTAAGCAGCCATTTATGAAAACTTTATCCTGGATTGCTGAATCATGCCTAGGTCAGTAGTGGTAGTCCCTTTTTCGTTCTGCATAACCACAAAAATTGATGCCATTAAGCTGTCTTAATGATTACAAACAAAGTTGTTGAAGATGAACTTGCTGCCACCTTCTTTACTTTGTAAAACTTCTTTCAGAGTTGATGAAGATGAGGAAATTATTGTGAAGGCAATGAGTGATTACTGGGTCGTTGGGAAAAAGTCTGACCAGCGAGAACTGTATGTTATTTTGAATCAAAAAAATGCAAACCTGATAGAAGTTAATGGTAAGGATTGTTTTTATTACATTTAAACACAGTTACTACTAAAATGTATGTCCCTGGAGAAGTAATAAAATCCATCTCACAAGAAAGCTAGAGAGGGACTGATCTATGATAGACCAGGTAAGTTTGCATAAAGGTTTAGTCTGCCTTCTACAGCTGTCAAAGAACAGCATAAATATTCAGCAGACATTCTTAATTATTAATCAGTCATTCTTCCTTCTTCAAATAATAGCGGACAGAGTGCTCTGTGAGCTTAGCTCAGGAGTAATTAATGAAGTGTATTATAGGTGAGAGATGAACATCTGAGTTAAGTTTTACTTGTCTATGACCCATGAGTAGGTTACTTATGCATAATGTCTCTCCTGTCAGTGATCCCCATTCCACTGTTGTCTTGTTTCTAGTGCTGCTTTGAGAATTACTTACTATGACTAAGAGTACAAATTAACATGTAAGATGCAACAGGCTTTTAAATTGCCATTTCTCTTAAAGTCTGAGTCTTACTTGCAGCAGTTTCAGGGCTCTCTATTTTAGTAGGAAGAAAGAATTAAAGCTTTTCCAAAACTAAAGCCTAGCAACCTCATTTTTCAAAAGAGGAACAAATTGGCATGACTTCACCATGATTTCTAATTGTCTTTCAGGATCAAACCTGACATACAGTAAATGAGTGTTTCTGTGGCTGTTAAATTTAGGAAATGCTTTCTTCCAAACAGCACAAAGCAAAAGTTTTACGGACTTATTTTAATGGGCTTCCCTAATCCTTCCTTCCCTGACAAGGGGTACAGTCTGCTGCTTTGTGTTGAAGCCAGGTCTTCTGCTGTTGCAGTGTAGAAATTTGACAAGACAAATGGACCAACAGCAAACACAGATGATAATTAATTTACATTTTAGTCATTTAGAATAAACTCATCTTTCAGACAGTGTCAAACATCAGATTTGATTCATTTTCTCCCACTGAAGATAGAATAACATTAAGTGTATTTCTACACTGGAAACTCCTAGAATTTCTTCTGTTTTAGTTTCATTATTTTCTCTCTTTGATGATCCCCAGGGTTTAGCTTGCAGAGGCTCCTGTAACATATACTGAAACACCTTTTTTGTTTTCTTTTTTACAGAAGAAGTGAAGAAACTTTGTGCAACACAGTTTAATAATATTTTCTTCTTGGATTGATCTGCAAAGGGCTGATTTATTAGAAGATGTCAATGTCAGACACTTGTTCAATATGAGAAGTTATTAGTCATATTATTGACTGGAATAATGACAATAGTAAAGCAATACTTGCTTTGTAAGAATCAAAATTTCTACTAAAATCTGTAAACTCTGATCATAAAATTTTTAGATTTTAAAAATGTTTATGTGCAAACTAAACAAAACCTGGCCTGAATTCATCTGTACCATTCCATTCTGCTATTGTTATGTGAATATTTTACTGGAAAATAAAACTATTAATTGCTACACTTTTAAGGGCATCTTTTTGTCTTCCTGTGTTCATTTGCATCATCGTGCTAACTTTCTTCAGCTTGAAACTAGAGTGGTTACCAAAGACCCCTGCTCCAAAAGCTTTCTAGGTTGGCCTGTTGTTTGCAGCTCCTGCTTCAGCCTGATTTACATTCTTTGTTACCTTCTTACATACTAGTTCATATGCAGTATTTCAGTCAAACCATATTTTAAGCAGAAACCATTTAATTGGGATATAAGATCATTTTAAGATACTTGTTGTTGTAACAACTTACTGGGACTTTTTAGGTGAAGTCAAATACTGACTTCTGAAATACTTTTTCCAAAGGGTTACACTCATGTCTGTGACTATATTCCCCTTCCCAAGACCCTTGGTGTAGAAGTAGTTTCCCTCTGAAACCAGCAATAAACTTGTGCATACAGTTTTATCATACTTGTATTTTATACCTTACTGCAAATGTGATTCTTTTGCTGTTGTTTTGGTTTTGAGTATTTACTTACTTCAGGCTTCAGTAGTTCTCATCAGATGACTTGTTTCTTCCTTCTCTTTTTGCCAGCAGGCACCCTGGTAGCTGGGGGTACTGCTGTGGGTGCCTCTTCCTTCGAAGCAGTTGCTAATGTTATGCCAGGCTCCTCTGACTCCTTAGAATCTGCACTCTTGGGGTCAGATGTTTTTGCTGCTGCAGCTGCTTCTTGATCTTTTGCCTCTTCTCTTCCAGCAATAATTCTGAGTGAACAAAGTTTTAAGTTTAATGTAGTGTAAGAGGGGGGAGACAGATTTATACCAGCTAAGCAACTACAGCTGTATTCACAGTATGACCAGTATAAACTGTCACACTGTAGAGAAGCAGAAAAATCTATCCAGTTACCACTTAAAGTCTGCCTTACAGTATGTAAAAAACCAACCAGCCACTGCACAGAGCATGGCTCAAGTGCCAGGAACTGCCAGAGAGTGAGTAGTTCTGTAACCTCAAAGCAGCCTCTATTTGTTAACTTCTGACAGCAAGAGAAGTCACAAGTTATGTTCTGCATGTTGCTTATTACACCTGGCATTTCTTTTCCAGTTACACTATGCTATACTGTTTTATTAAAGCACATTTCTCATTTTGAATAATTCTGTTAGTAGAAAACTACTTCAAGATGAGCCACACCACTCACTTTGCCAGCTCCTCATCCTTGATCTTTCTCAGCTCAGCTAATTCAGCATCTCGTATTCGATTTTCTCTTATTTTTTCCCATAGCACTTTCTCATGCTGATAAGCGGGAAAGAGCTTAGTTGTAAAGAAGATCTGCACCTGGCACAGCAACAAACTAAGCTCATCTTGTTTAGTTCTGTCTTCTTTCGATTCACCTGCAACATGTAAATCAAATATGTTTATTTAGCAGGACACTTCTGTTTCAAGTGTGGCTTGGACTATAGTACTTCAGCTCTTGTACTCTGCAGTGGGAAAGTGTGACTTTTGCATGGTACAGGAGATAACTGTGAGAAACTTTAAACTGATGCATGTGACAGGGGATGGCCCTTTTGCAGGTGTTCTGAGTGACCTGTCACTGGGATGGCAGCAAAAGAATATCAACTTTCCCCTTTAATCCTATGATAAGTGTCTTCCCCAGTAATCTGACAACAGTTCAGTATCTGTGACTCCTGTGCACAGGGGAATAGAGGAATGAACACAACTACCTGAATGAAAAGAATTGGATGCAAGCATCCAATTGTCACAACTTTTCAAAAACAAGTATGGTTGTTGAAGAAACAATCCCATCAGTAACTTCTCAGTCACCAGATTTCACTGAAAGAGATGATGACTACACAAAGATCCTTGCCTATCTATGTCTTGGATTTAGGTTCTGTATCTGTAGAAAAACTTTCAGAGGACAAAAAACAACCCAAATGAGATCTGCTGATCAGCCAATGATATAAAATGGTTACTAGCCTCAACATATAAAAATGCTCTGATTTCTCTTCTGCATGAATGTTGGCCTCTCACTAACTTAATCCCAGGTAATGGTGGCATACCATTAATAATAATTCTTACATTAACTAAAACAAGCAGGATAGAGCAATAATAGCTTTTATTTGTCCAAGACATTAAAAAAAAAAAAAAAAGGCTGGTGCAGATTGAGCTTCTCATAGAGTAAATACAAATTACAGCTTTAGATGCCCTACATATAAAATCTGACATAAATCAGGGACACTATTTAAGTCAGTTCTTAAACATCTCAATTACTACATTTAATCTTCTTTAAACATTTTCCTCCAGAATTAATGTTCATTTACTGCCCTCTTGTGACAAGCTGCACTCTGCAGATACAATTAAAATTCCCCATTCAAAAGGTATGAGGGATTTTTTGTGTTAAGTCCTAAAACAGTAGGACTGCTTTACCTGTCAATTCCTTTCCTGGACAGGTATCTTGTTCTTTTTCTGCATCCCAGCTCAATGATGTTGGAACCACTGATGGAACAATGGTATTTCCATGAGTTGTGTGAAATGAGAGGGTAGCATCTGGTACTGCAAAGAAAAAAATTGAAAGTACTCAGTCTGTAATTCTGTATGTTAAAGATCAGATTTGATCTTCAGCACAAACAGATGTAAATTGTTATCTGACCTTACAGCTACACCTGTGCTTGAAATACTTCTGTACTGAGGAAAAGTTTGTTTTGAATAAAGACACAGTGCAGACTGCAATCTCTGGTTCCATGCCCAAATGAGCAGGACAGAACAGAAAGAATTTAGTTTAAAAAAAAAAATAGTCTTTACATTGTTTTTATGGAAAATGTGATAGCTTTTAATTAAAAAGCACAAAAGGTTCAGAGATTCAAACTTGCCAGATACCTGTGTATAGCAGGTGTGGAAAGCTCAACATAAACCTTTTTGTAATTCCCAAACTGAACGCAGCTACCTTCTGTACTGCAATGCATCCCGCTGTTTCAACGATTAGCTGCTGTTTTAATCATCTCTTAAATTGTAGAAAGAGTGAATCTCCTCTATCACCACTGCTTAGAAATGCTTATAACTCCGGAACTCACCCAGTAGAAATTCCTGAAGAGGATGCTCTGTGTCTTCAGAAGGTCTCTGTGGTCAGCAAGAAGTTTAAAATTCAGTTACTAAATGCCTGGACTTGTGTCCAAATTAGAAAGTGAAATTACATGTCCATTTGCGTCATGCAAATTGCTATCTACAAAGCATTCTGCCAACCAAAGGCATTCTGCAATTATACCTACTTCAAAACATTTCAATTGCAACCATGTTTCACACTTTCAAGTATTAGCAAATTGGTCACAACACTTCACCTTCGATACCAGCCAGGGAAGTAGCGTTATCCTATTTCAGAGCCAGTGAAAGATCCTACAGAGAATGAGAACTCCTATTCTTAGACATGTCCCTCTGTTCTTGCATCTTGCTCTACATACATCTAGTCCTGAGGAAACAATAATTAATTTCTATTCCTGATTACAGGAATACACTCCAGGAAGAATCCTAAGTGAAAAGAACAAGATTCAAGACTAATGAGACTGATGTTTTGCAGTCTTTCCAACTGTCACCCCAAGTATCTTCTGCAGCCTGATTATGTCTCACCAGAACTCAGGTCAAACATAATTTTGTGTTGGTAGTATTTTCTAAAAGCCATGAAGTTTCCAAATTCTCTGTCTGATTTCCATGACTCCAGTACAAAACAGTAATCCCTACTATCTTAATCTGAAATCACAGAGATCAGAAAGAATGTATTTGTTCCTGGAATATCAAGAATCTCATTACAGTCATAAACTAGGTACAAAATTATAAAGGCAGTGGAGGTGAGAAGTTTGCTGGAAAAAATCTGAAAACTATTCTAGGAATTCTCTTACCTTCCGCAGTGCTTTTAGATCTTTCTGCCCACTTCCCAGCCCCTTACTCCCCCACCTTGCAAGACAAGATAAAACTGTAGCTGTGTTCACTCCTGTTTTAGTTGATGTAGAACTTACCACCCAGTATTCTAAACAAAAATAGCTGAGTGCATGTGTGGGAGCAAATGCTTTTATTAGCAATGGCAGGCAATGCACCACTTTGAGGCTCATACATGCATGGGAACACATTGTATTTAATTTAAAACACCTCATGTTTCTTTAATTCATCCTGTGTTATGAAACTTTTGTTTGAAGACAGCAATGAGTAAAGCTCGGGTGCCTTGGACATGTCATCATTCATGTGTGTACCAAGTACAGTTCCACTGTACAAGCACTAATAAAAAAAAAACACAAGAAAAATTTTATCATCAGTACATTTTAAATCAAGATTTTTTTTTTTTTTGTCTTGGAAATCTGACTTTTTTAACTGGACCATTTCACTGTGCAGCTGCATTAATTCTTGCAGTGATGCAAGGGAACAGGTTCCATAGAATCAGTACAATTGACCAGGGAATGGGAGTGGTGGTGTTCAGTGACACTACTGGTTGACAGTGTGAAATTAGGTATTTGTTAACGCTCTTTGAATTAATAAAATGCTTCTATCTTGTGCATAATTCCAAATAATAACAATTTTAACTCATTCCTCCAACTCCCCTGCACATCTAAATTGCTCCAGTGGCATAGGCAGCATCTTATAACTGACAAAATCCTTATTCAAGTGTCCATCAAAAAGAAAAGAGCATAGCTTAACTGCTGGAAACAGTGAACCTTGATACATGGAACAACTGCAATGACATTTTTACAGTGCAATTTTAGACACTTGACTTAAAACAGAAGAGGCGTGTTTCTTCCACCAGTCAACCAATCTGTCGATTCCCCTTCAAACACCAAAAACTTGCAGGCACCTTATGTGTATTTACAGTTGACTAGGAAAATGTGCAAATGTGTTAAAGCTGACTATACTGATGTTATAGGCATCAGCAAGCAGGAAAGGCAGTAGGACCCAATTAAATGACTGTTTACGCAAAAAGAGGAAAGTGGTTTCTATGTTCAGAAAACACAGAATATTTGTAATGCTGGACTTCACCCTCTCAGTGGACATACTCAACAGCTCTCTATC